GTGCTACTTCGCCAGTGGATGCTGGAAAAAACTTTGAAAATACGCAATCGTTCCAGACACCTCTTTTTCACTTCTTCGATGTGTATTTTCTATATGAACCTCCGGTCAAAAGTAAGTCCGAGGATTTTAATCGAGTCACGAGCGGTTGTCGGTTTAATATAGCTGGTCCTGTCTGTTTTCGGTTACCGACTATCATGAATTCAGACTTGCGGCTAAAAACCCAGCTCATATGGCTCCACATTTGGTTGCCCAGGTTTGGAGGTCAGTCACAGCCTTTTGGGCAGTATGGAAGATGTACCAGCAGGAAATTGAGGGGTCGTCAACAAAAAGTCGTCTTTGTAAAGGGGAGCAGAACCCCATTCAATGTTAAGGGCGTTAAAGTTTCCACAGAGAATTAATGGTACAGGAAACTGGTTTATAATCCTCTCGAAGTTCTTTTCGCGAAGTGGTTTGCAATTTGTGGGATACATCAGTGGCGGCTCGTGGGACATGAAGTAGGTGAGGCTCACCACACATCCCCATTTTAAAAATAATTGAAAAGAGATTATTCGATATTTCTATTATTATCTCTCTCTTAAATCGTTTATAAAAATAATTTATCCAGGGTAAGTAGATAAAATAAATATATTTTAAAATATAATATATTTATATTTTAAATAACAGAATAAATGAATAAAGGTAATTTTCACACTGAAAAAATAAACAAAGATAACTCTCACACTATTTCAGTTTTTGTATAATAATTCTATTCTACTCACTATATCCGTCTCTATTCCAAACGCTTTTTACATTTCCCAATAAGAGGCACGGCCAGCAAAACAATTTACTTTTATAAACACTACCACTTAACCATTTATGTGATTCGTACCAAGATAACTGAAATGTTCTGGAATATGTACGTTTTTCTTTTGGGTTCCGATCTTCAGAAACAATTTCTATTTTTGGAGTAGGGTGGAATTTTAAAATTTCTCGCTTTTCCGTTTCGCTACGTCGCGTAAACGGAGTTTCCAATAGAGACATTACAACATCATGTTGAGGATTCATAATTTGAATAATTGAATGGAATAAGAATATAAGATTTTCAGTAAGCGTAAACTAAAAGTCGAATGCACTGCGGACTGAATGTGAATGCCCTGAACTGAATGGAAATAATATATATATATATATATATACAGAATGCAAAGCAATATGCCTGTAAAGTGTACACGTAAACTAACGGCAATCGCAAGTAGTGCTATTCTCGAAAAGACGTAAATCATTAATTCAAACTCGCCAAATCTCCGAAACATGCGTTAGGAACGCCCGAGTATACACGACCATGTTCACTCAAATCAAGAGGCTCGATTATTCGAGCTTCATGAGCGCGTAAAGTATGATCAGGAGATTTAACACTGCAGCACACGCTAAGAATGAAACATATTAAGCTCTGAAATTTGAGCTTAACGTTGACTTAATTTACACATATTTCAGTAATTTACAAGGTATTGTAAAGAATTTTAAGAATTCTTGTAATAATTTATTATTTTGCGAGTGCTTGATGTATAATGTAGCTAAACTGACAAATTTGGAAGTGAGGCTCAGCCTCACTTGCCTCACCTGACGAGCCGCCACTGGTAAGGGCTGTATAAATAGATAGTATTTTCTGGTAAACTGACTTCAAGGACATCTCATTCCTAGAAAACGGTGGTAACTTTCCATATTGAATTTAAAAATCATCCCATTTTTCTGTTGTATTTACATATTAAGTAACAATTAGTTATTTACATTATTAGTGCGGGAACAGTTATTTGGCAGATGAGCGCGAAGTCTGGCAGCGCGAGTGCGCAACACGCACGAGCGACGCATCTCGCGCGAAACAAGCAAATACTGTTCACGCATGTAACATGTATTCTATTTTTTGCACGGATTAGTTAAATCAAATTTATATAAATTCCAATCCTTTTCGCGAGATTTTTGCGACATTATAATTCTTTTGAAAAAATCAAGTCCTCTATGCCGATAAAGTAGAAATTTAGAAATTTAAAATGTCAATTTATTGTTCAAAACTTCTGCTTTAGGCTTATTTTTGCCCTTGTACTACAGGGAATGATGTAAAGTGTATTTATATTTTCTTTTTTACTCTTCCATCATACTACTTATTAGTTTATGATACGCACTAAATAGATAATTTTGTTGAATTTTTAGGCACTAGTGCGCGAAAGTAGATAGTCAATTGTAAAATTGACGTTCCCGACGTTCGTGTTTTATTGGGAAAACGCGATTTAGAACAAAGGAGTGCAAAATAGTTATTTACAAATGAGTATGCTAAATCAAAGTTTATGAAGCTGAAGCATAGCTGAGGCAAGAATTTCGAAACGAGTAACGTAAGCTGATTTACCATACAATTTAATGTAAAACATTTTATTTATACATGCATATGCATACATAGTTTGACACATTAATATACAGGGTGATTCCTATAGTACCTGCCACCGTTTGGGAGCGTAGGGGGTGCCTAGGGGAGTATTTTGATATAGGACACTTGGGGTCGGAAATCTAAAATAAGGGCGCCAGAAACAAATTTATCTTCTGGAATTTCACGCCTGTATGTAGGCAACCCAACCGACCGACGTTTCGCGCGGAGCGATGCAGAGCGAGTTAGCGCGAGGAAGCGACATGGGACGGAAGGAGGGAAAACGACAGTCAACAGCAATAACGTTTACAAGTGTTCAACGTGGCCACCGTTGTTCTCAATGCACTTCCTACATCTAGCCAACTATTATTATACTATTGCCATAGTGTTTATTCACTTGATACGCGTCGTTGCAGACGGGATTTCGTGGGTTTAAACAAAATTCTGATCAGTGTCAGCCACACATCGCCGCCTGAGATCGCTCCGTGTGCACCGCCGGCCGGTTCGTTTTTGCCTACCTACAGGCGCGAAATTCCAGAAGGTAAATTTGGCTCTGGCACCCTTATTTTAGATTTCCGACCCCAAGTGTCCTATATCAAAATACTCCCCTACGCACCACCTACACGCTCCCAAACGGTGGCAGGTACTATAGGAATCACCCTGTATATGGAAATATTTTGCATTGTAGGAGGAAATATCGGCTAATGGCCACGGAAATTAAATTTTTATCGCGTGCATAAAGAACCTTATGGCACATTTGGACGTGATCATTACGTTCAAATATACTCAAAATAAACTTTTCCACAGTTCAGACGCGAAATAATGAAAATTTCATATTGGAAAACCAATTGTCGCACTAATGACCAAACGCAATTTTTTTAATTTTACTTTTCTTTAAAGATCGCTTGAACGGGACCCAACCGCGAATCAATCAAAATCTTTTACAATGACCCACACTACGACTTAAACAAGAATCAGAGTAGTAAATAAAATCCTCCATACGAGCAACATATGCGACGCTGCATGATGCTAAACTGACCTCATGTCAAATTCGCAGTTGTAACCAATTTTTAATCCTACTTGAGTTAACTGAATATGATCCAAACCTTGACACCTCCGGACATCCGGAATTTATTAATACAACAACGCTCTAAAGAAATGAAACGGCGCAGAATAGACGAACCTCATTTCCACCACGGCTTAATAACACAATCCCACTAGTCAAACAATTCACTAAAAAATCAATCCTTTAAATTTCGGCATCCTATAGGATTTCTAGGACGGTGGTCTGCGTTTTTGGACAAGCAGGGTATCCTCAAATTAAGGTAGGAAGGGCAGTTGGACCTCGATTACGTGGTAGAAAACATTTCCTCTGTTTTAAGACGCGTTTTGGGGTGTTTTCTTTTTGTATTCTTGTATCATAAAATACGAAACATTGGTCTTTGCCAATACAATGGAATGTCTTCATTTATCTCGGTCAATAGAAAACTTGGACCTAGGGTTTTTTTGCTCTTTTTTAACTTCTCTATTAAATATTCGTCAAAAGTATTCAAATCATATGCAGCTTCATAGTAGATTGATTCGGATTTGCTTTTACGGGTATATGACGTTATTCGGACCTCGAGTTACGGTCATAAAATTAATACAAATTGTTAAAGGGTACCTTAATTAAACGTTTTCAACAACAAAATTTGCGGAAGAAGCCCATAATCTTAATGTTAGGTTATGTTACTTCATATTTAATGATCTTTACATTGATGAACGTGCGTAATATTCACGAGTGGCAAGTTCAATTTCTTAAATTAACATTTTTCTACGTTGTTTTGCAGTGAGTTAAATAAACGCTTAAAAAATTAATTAATTAATTTTGCCATGAATGTGTTTGTAATTATACCATAACAGCAGTAAGTAGTTCTCTACATGTTTTGCATAAGTAATTCATGTGTAAATTATGTACAGATATATATTTACCAATTGGAAACATGATATAAGTACACCTTAACTGGTTTTATTAGAGACTATTCTATATTCTGGTGTACAAGATGGTCGATGCTAATTGTTGGTTGATGCGTAAAAGACAGTCTATTGATGCGAGATGTGCCCGTTCCCCTCTCAGGTGTACAAGGCGGTCGATACGAAAAAGCCGGTCTATGAAAGATGCGAGAAGTGTCCCTTCCCCTCGCGGGTGTAAATGGCGGTCGATACGAAAAAGACGATGGATACGAGAAAGGCGGCCTATGGAAAATGGGAAAGGTGCCCGTTCGCCTCTCGCACGTTCAAAGCGGTCGGTAAGGAGAAGGCGGTCGATACGAAAAAGGCGGTCCATGAAAGATGACTGATATAAGGTACTTGATATGGAAAGGGCAAAATATAGCTCCGTCTACGACGTTCTTCTTGTCTAAATCCATCCATTGTAAATATTGACAGCAAATATTGTTGTCAGTATTTTTGATTAATTAATGAAGTTTGAACCACATGTTTGAACTTGCTCTGTCATTCAAAATTTTGCTTTCATCTCTCATTATTATTATCAATTTCTAACCCGCAGTATAAAAAATGAGATCAGTTGTGTTGCTTTAAAGGATTTTCTACTTTATTTAAAAATACATTAGCGAAATGGCGCTTTTATCATAAGAAACTACAACTTGCACTTACTACATTCACGATTTATGGTTGTACTTTTATGATTACGATCTAGAAACAATTTACAACGATATTGCGCTTTACAACGTGCGTGGCTTTAGCCCAACCCAAAACCCATCGTCGGGTATGGGATTAAAATTTGTCTTGCTAAGGACTATCGGAACTTTTGTCTGTTCCACGACTACAAATTCGAATTTTCGAATCAATTCGGCGACGATCAACTTTCCTTCCATCAAAGCAAATCGAGAACCTGTAATAGAAAAAGAGATTAAATAACAGCAATAGTTCTCGATACGGATACTTACCGATGCAGTTTCTAGGTCCAGCGCCGAAGGGTAAATACGTGTACGGAACAATGTTGTTCTTATTCTCCTCGCTAAAACGCCCAGGGTCAAATTTTTCAGGGTTTGGGTAAAACTTGGGGTCCCTCTGAATGGCGAAGATAGGAATGGACACGACACTTCCGGACTCTAAGTACAACACACTTTCGCCCGATCGTTTCGGTTGAATTAGGAACGGGCGGACGCATCTTCGATTGGTCCCAATGAACGACGGCCATTTTCGCAACGTTTCACAAATCACTTGATCCAAATACTTCATGCTCATCAGAACGTCATACGTGAGATCGTCGCCGCATTGTGAAAACGCCTCGTCCACCTCTCGCCGCAACCTCGCCTGCAGTTCCGGCTGAAGCGTCAACTCGTAGACGGCGTAGCACATCATTGTCGAAACGCTGTCGAATCCGGCAAAGAAGAAGAGTAAAACTTGCGCCGTGATATCGTCGTTTGTTATGCCGTCTTTGCGTTGCTGGAAATTTTTGCCCACCTCCGACTCTTGGACGGTGGCGAATCCCGTTTCAGGCACCGAGGCGTCCTTCTCGCGATCTAGCTGTCCCGCGCGAGCCTGCATCAGCAAGTGGATCATGTCCGGACGCACGATGTTTTGTTCCTCTCTGGTCCGAATGGTGTCGCTTACGATTGATCGGAAGAAATCTGACACAGACTTGTTGAACATGGGCAGCTTCAGTACCTGAAAAAAGGCAACCTCTTTGCACCAAACATTGCAAACTAAATTCATTGCTTGTCAGAATTCCACAATAAGGAATTGGAATGGAATAATGGAAAGCACCACAGAGCGTATGAGGAAAATCCAGTAAAGGAGTTGGTAAGTGCAAATGAGGGCAGAAAACCCTGAAGGTCCTGGGGCTCTAGCTCTTGACTTTCAGCATAGGGCGTTAGGGGCAAATCTCCATGAACATGGTTCTTTGCAGAACACGAGTTTGATGGTTAGGAATTACAGACTATGATTAATCCGTCCATGATCTGAGAGTTAGAATAAGTAGTTGGGACCGTGAGGCAATGCGCGTTAAACCACGCTACCGTTCGCGTCGAGTGGTTAAAAAAGTTAAGTAGAATACCAGTAAGTTAGCGCAGGGTGGATTTTAGTTCGTCGATCACTCGCAGATAATCGTGGGGTTTGGCTTTTTATTTTATGTTACAAAGTTGAATGCGCCTTCAGTAGCAAAGTACGATTAAACAAACACGAAACAAGTCTCGAATTAGTTTTTTAATGACGTTGACTTTAAGGGCATATTTTTCGGTTGAAAAACCATTGCGGTAAATTCGAACAATGGCGAAAATTTTAACCAATGAAGATAACAGCGGCCTGACCTATAAATAAGTTTAATTTTCGCATATTGGAAACTATTATGATAAGTGCGGACAATAGTGTATATGTTATACGCGCGAGAATAAATTATCGTAACATTCTAAAGGAGAATGGATTAAAAATACAATTTCACGTAATTCTTTGCCCGTCTGAAACTTTGACGCGTATCGTCAAGTTACGTAATTTTCAGTAATCGTGTTGGAACTTGAAAATCAAAGAAGCCATTCATTTACGAGACCAAGGATCTTGCATTCACTGTTTTTTCCAACCATTTGGATCAGCAAAGTAGACAGTACTTCAGGTTCGACGACCCAGGGCTATCACTATACCGTTGGTTTACTGAAAATAAAGGCCGCTTTACATACTGCAATTCTTCATGCAAGACCATGCAATACGCAATAAAACTTGCCCAGAAGCATGCGCGTTTGAGAAACAGCTGATTCATTTTGGCAATTCACTTGCAATTGCAGGTTAGCGGTCGCGCGCGATTTTTATTGCACTTGCACGTGATATTTTGGGGGAAAGTATTGACAACAACAGGTTCTAGAATTCCCAAACGTTGAAACTAGACTTTGTTATTATTACTACTATTACTACACAAATTGAAGCTGCGACTGCCTTTTTTCGATTAAAGTGTATTCATTTTTACTCAAAACGCATTCAGAATTATAACAACACCTGATGAATTTTGAATAGAATAAAGCTTTTAGTTCAATTTTAAATGCGAATGTTGGTAACAAACTCTTGCAAAAAGAAAATTGCCGCGTGTAAAACCAAAGTGCAATAATTATTGCATGTACAGTATTTTTGCAATTAAACTTGCTGCAACTGTATTGCACAAAGAATTGCAGTATGTAAAGCGACCTTAAGGTAACCATATTTTTCTACGTATATATTCAGTAAACCGATTCTTTTAAGATGTCTAGAGTGTTTACAGAATTCTAGGGTGTCTAGAGTTTCCAGAGTTTTTAGAGAATCTAAAGAATCTGGTGTCTAAAGTATCGGGATGGTATACAGACTGTTAAGTCTGCAGAGTCTGTAGGATGCCCAGAGTCTATGGAGTCTGCTTCTAAATTGTCTAGACTTCTAGAGTGTATAGTGTGTAAAATGTCGAGAAGGTTTACTGCCCTTTCACAATCATGTTAATGTTAATGGTAATGGTAACGTAATGTTAGAATGTTAAACTCCAGATAATGGCATTACAAGCAAAGCGTTCACAATGATGGTAATGGTAATGTTAACGTAAGATGGTAATGTTAAGGTCCAGAAATTTTCTGGATCTACTAACATCGGCGTTAACAGCCTCCAATAGAATTGCAGCTACGGTAAAATGCAGCGCATGCGCATGTGTTGACTGCTGACCGCGTGAACTGTCACCCATCGCGTCATATTTATTTAAGCTCTGCAGTTCGTTTGAGTTTCTCGTTTGCCTTGTTGTTTTCGTGTGCAATTGCTGGTTTTTGTTATTTGCTGTTGCGTTCGGTGCAATGATGGTTGTTGACGTCTCGTTACTGTTGGAGTTAATACAACAATACCCATTCCTCTACGATAAACAACGCAGCGATTTTAAAGACATAAAGAAAAAGAACAACGCCTGGATTGAAATTGCTGAAACCCTTAACTGTAATGCTAAACTTGAATTAAAGGTTATATTTTTACGGCCCGTCAAACAACCACAGATCAAATCAAAGAATTTAAACAGACAATTTATTTTTCGTTGCGCCCTCCAGCGCCACCATAAAACACTGTCACTTTTGAGTGGGGGAACTTCCTCTACCATCAACATTAACAGTATTGTGAACAGCGTTACCATTACCATTACCATTACCTCTTAACATTACCATTAACATTAACATGATTGTGAAAGGGCAGTTACAGCGTCGTAACACTTCTGGATTGTCTAGACTCTAGAATGTGTGGTAAGATACCTCTACGGTTAGGCAACACCTCTCACAACTGAAAGAATCTCAGTATGCAAAAATACGGAACGCTCTGTATATACAGCAATCATGCTGTGCAGCTGTAATTTGTTATTTTCATTATGCATATAATACTGCTATTTTAAGCGTGGGGTTGCTCTATAGTTATTTAGAGTACCGTTATATGGATCATGTTTTTTTCATTATACTGTACAGGTGATTATGCTTTCATATTGTTTTGTTAAGTATTTATTTATGTACTTATTCATATGAAAGTTTATTGTCAGTGCGCTGTGCAAGAACTGAAGCCGACTCTAGACGTTTTCTTGTGGGGCTACGTAAGGTTTAAAGTCTAAATGGAGCCGGCTACGATTCAGGCATTGGAGGCATACATTAATCGCGTCCGGCTCTAACGATTCTAAGAGCTTTAGCGTTTTCAAGGTTGAAAGTTAAGCAGTGAGCAAAAATTTTTTGTAAAATCATCCTTGTCCATTTCTTTCTCCTTCCTCCCTCTTCCAGCACTTCAATCCTGCATTCTCTTGGTCTTTCCACCTCTGTACATTCCCATTGCATGTCTTCTATGCATCCCTCTTTCCCGCTACAAAATCTGCATTTCCTTTATTATTCTTTTCTCTACTTCTTCTTCCCTCTCACCGCATTTCCGCATCCAAAACCTCGCTATTATCTCAATATTTTTTCTACCTTATCAGCTCATAGATTACTCGTGAGTCGTGACCTATCAATTTTCACCCTCCCTATTTCTTTTCTTCTTTTAACCTTTTCTTTTCTTTGTTCTTCTAAAGCTGATGATCCAGAGAGGGGCAAGTTGACATATGAAGAATAAAAAAAATATTTATTAATTGCATTAAAAAGGTATTTTCTTGTTATAAAAACATTTTTCCCCTCTCTCTTATTCCCCGCACCTATCGCCACCTCGCCCTTTTTTGTTAGTGTAGCGAAGCACCCGTTTCCAGCCTTGAAGTTTACCCTCCTTATGATGACCACCCGGTAGCGTTTTAAGTTGTGCGCTTTGATACGAAGAGAGGTGCTTTGAAAATATTTATTTCTGTGTAGGAGTATGAAGTGGATTAATTTCTAGAGCCGCCTGTTAAAAAAACAAGACCATATATAACTTGCCGTTTGCAACCGTTCCCGTAGGAATATTTAACTTGTTTTTACAGCGCCACCTTTTGCCAGGAAAAAAGAGAGAGAATAATTCATGTTAAGTTTTAGGTAAGTGAAAGATCCATTAATCGATTTCACTTTTCTAATGGTATACGAAAATCCGGCATTAAACCGGCAAGGTCGTGCAGTCGTTGCAGGAAATATCAACGCAATAATAAATTATGCCGCTTGACCTCACATTCCAAGGAACAAAAGGGCATTGTTGGACTACCAAATTTGAGGATCTCATTCCGATTATTTGGATAAGTATAATGAACAACCTCCGATTAAATCGAGATTATCCTTAAAATATTTGAATTTTGACACCGGTCCCGGAATTTCCTCCGTTCGCTCCCTGGCGGTTAATTTAGAGGGGATTTAGAGGAAACGTAAAATCTTTTCCCTTTTGCATCTTTTTTACAGTACAGTAAGTTTAAGCTTTGCCGTAAATTTATTTTTCGTTCATACCGTTTAATTTTGGTTTTCGCACCATAACACTTTTCTTTGAACTGTAATTCCTAGCCATATAGGGGGGGGGGGGGGGTTGTCTGGCTTTCCTGCATTTGATTTCTTGTAGAAATCGCTACCGAATCCGGTTATTTACTGTTTCCGCTTAGGGAAATTGCTGTGCGTTTGTTCTAGCATTCACCAGTTGCCACCGTTAGTGAGCGAGCTTCTGGCGAAAGTTCGTCGCATTATTTCCCTTATTTGAGCATTTTACTCATTACTTAGCCTCATTTGGACCCTAGATATTTAACTTCTCTTACTTCCTCTGCTTTTTCCCGCCTCCATTTCCATTCTATCTCCCTTTTTTTTCCTCCCCCCCTCTCAAATCTCATCATCTTCGATTTTCTGACAGTTAACCACACTTCCTTTCTTTCCCATTATTTCCTTCATCCGTGCTACCTCTGCTGCCATTATCACAGCGTCGTCTGCGTATGCCAGGGACTATATCTTCCCTCTTCCCACTACGACTGCTCCACCTTGACCCTGTCTTAATATTCCTTCCATATATCTTATGTTGATAGTAAATAAGGTTCGGCTAAATGGATCATTTTCCGGTCAATGACCACGGATGCCCTTGAAAATGTAATTTAGTAAAAAAGTGGGCTCAATGTCCTCGGATGACGAAAATTTATGGGGTTAATGACCTCTAATGACATTGAAAATGCAAATTGATTCCCAAAAATGAGAGCAATGACCTCGGGTGGCATTGAAAATTAATGGGTCAATGGACTCGGATTTCCAAGGTCTCCGCCACGTCACGTTGTCCTACTTTCTAAGGTGACCACCAGGTGGCGAGCTACCTTGAAGTGGTGCAGGAACCCCCCTGTATAACTACTGAGAAAAAGTAGTGAAAAACCAAAAAAGCGGGATAGATGTGGTAATATGGAATCGGGTGGGGTAACTAAAAAGAAGGGCATGGATCAGGTAAAGTGGAAGAAACTGGTAAGAGCTGTAGAAGCCAACGACGTTTAAGACCTTTAATTTAAGACCTGTTGCGTAAACAACGTCATGTAGACATTATCGGTCTAAACACTAAGAATAATGACGGGGCATCCTATATAAGAAAATATTTAAATTTTATTAAGTGTACATCTGGAAGATTACCTGCGAATAGGCACAGAGTTGGTTTATTGTACTTGAATTTGTTATCTCAATGTCTACTTTTTCTTTTAGAATTATTGTTTGCATTATTTTCTTGTTTAAATGTTATCGCTTTTGTAATTTATTCAATTTTCATAAGGTGCCAGAAATGGACTATCTCTGGTCGAATTTGCGTTATTTAAAAAAAGACACATTCGTTTGCGACAAAGAGTGTTATTATCAGGCGAAATTTAATTAACGCACATTTTCTTATCGCTATTAGAAGATGCAGGTGTTTTCCAATGTGCGCATTATTTTGGCGTAAGTGGGGACCCGGGACGCGTTCCTTCGAGGTTGACGTTATCAAGTCTAGTTGTGATTGGCGGTGTAACTTGATAATTCTTGAAGAAAAAGATTATGGTGTAGCGGAAGTGGTGGTGTTTTAAATAATGAAATCAGCGTAAAAACCAAACTACTGCTGGCGCTGCGAGTTCCGCCACGGTTAAAAAACGTGTAAATTTGTTCACGGTGTATCTCGGACAATCTGCCCTGGTTGTTTTATTGGAGACGCAGTCCGTCGATTTCCAAGTAGTGTTCAGATGAGAGAAGTTATCGTCAAGTGTGAGTAAACAAAGCAAAGTTTTCTAGTATAGGTATGCTGTTTAAATTCTTACCTTCGCAAGGGTTGGTATGAAAATATTCAGCATGAAAATTAATCCTTTCCATCCCCGAAAATTAGTCAACTCCCCTCCCATTACACAAAACTCATTGCTGGGTTCTTCTAAAGAATCGCACTTAATCCCAAAACCGGTTGTGGCAATGACGTCAGTTGTAAACCTGCTAAAGGCGTCCTTAAGTTCCACAGTCACCATCCCGCCCTTCCTTAGATAGTAACTGGTAAACTGCTTCGAACACTCCCTCATGAGGACAAACATGCCTTTCATTTTGCTGCTAGTAAAGGACGGACTGAGCGTGGCGCGCATCTCGTGCCATCTCTCACCACCTAAAATGTCATGTTAAGACTATTAGGCAGGGTAACTCCACTCACCCTCCATTGCGAAGAGATTCTTGCTCCACAGCGGATCCACATCAGGCGGAATGAAGGGCCGGTGCTCGGGGAACGTCTCGAATTCCTTAACCGTAATCTGCTTGATTAGTTCGGGATCTTGAACTAGCAATATTGGGGAGGTGAAATTGTGCATACCCACGTACCTAAAGGGGTCTTATTGGCAATTTGGAAATGGTCACCCTTACCTTTTATCCGCGTGCGTCTGGCACAACTTTTGATTAACTTCGGCCGATGACAGTAGCCTGAACACCACCGGCCACGCGTTTCCGAAGAGGGGCACGCCTTGCGTGTAGGGCACATTTCTCTCCCTCCAGTAGTTTAGGGGTTTAATTAAAAAATAGTAAAATGCAAGAGACAGACCTGTTAGAATTAATAGTATCATGTTCACTGGCTATTAAAAACGGGTATTACTATCTCGAGAGTTTTATTTTGCTATCGTTCGATATGAAGATAATGAAACTACATTAAAAGTGATGGGAAACTATGCGGTAACTTCCATGTAAACAATCGCACTTGGCCAAGTTCGTTGTTCATTGTGGCAAAACGCGTTACGCCAAGGACGGTTGCGAAATTCCTGTTGCGTGGCGATCTAACTAGGTATCTAATTTGTTATTATAGACTCGTACATAATTGTCGACCTTCTCAAACCTGTTCTTTTCAGTCACATGTTCCCTCCAAAAAAGTTATTGGCTAGCTTTCCATATACAGGGTGAATAAACATAAGGTGGAAACTCGAAAACGGATTTCAATATTTTTCGCGCATTTTTTAAGAATTAAAAAACCTATAACTTTCCCTTGCGGTTTTTTTCGAGATCAGTGAGCGACGGGGCCTGAGGGGGGGGGGGTTAAAAATTAATTTCATCTCTCATTGTATTCTAATTAAAGGTCTCAACGAAAGGAATTAATTTCTACCAACCATAGCTCTCCTCTTCGACCTCTTATCGTGATCGGGTATATTCCCTTATATCTCAAGAACGGATTGTCGGAAGAGGGTACTCACAAAGGGCGATTGAGACGTCTGCAAGAAATATATCCATTGGTGATGTCAAAACAAAAGCTATTTCGGTTTAAAAAAATGCGCTTTATCTGCACAAGAGTTGTCCACAATTTATACTTGTTTTTTTAATTTAGTGGACAAATTTTAACATGTTTTTTTTTAATTTTTCCTTTTCTCAATTTTTGGGAGTGGGGGTGTCTAAAGAGACATTGGAGGGGCCAGAAAAAGGTTTCTGTTGCTTTTTGAGGCATAACGTATACTGCTTTAGTTTCATTTACAAGTGTTGAAAACCACCTTTCGCATTAGTTTATTTACTTAAAAGTCAGGAAAATGACACATTACTGGCGAGGAAACATTGTAGTACGAGCCCCTTTTGGCTTTTGCTCGGTAGAGTCATCTGCCTTGCCAAAGTTGAAGCAGGACTGCGGTACTAAATGTCCCTGGTTCGAATCCAGGTTCAGGCATGGATATTTGTAAATGTATAGTTGGTTGGGTTGGTAGAGCAGCCTTGGCTGAAACCGCACCCACTCAAACATAAATAAGCTGATAATAGTTGATCATCCAGTATCCCGTAAGGACACCCGACCGGTGATCTTCCTAATATTGCTTTTAAAACTTAGAATACCCAGATTTGCCCTGGCTGTCAGGGTCCTGTTTGTTGCCACTGATTGTGGAATTGACTGATCACCCAGTCTTTAATCCTGGCTCTGACAACGAAGGAAGCAATTCCTAAGGTAGGCCTGGACCCGACGAAGACCACTGCCTTCAGAAGCCAGCTGGTCCGTCCTTTAGTTGCCGCCTACTCCGCAGTGCGCTGGTACCCAGATCAAGCTTACCAGCAGGTTACACTCACCAAATCTATCTAGAGTTCGCTTGCAATCAAGGGCCATGGCCGAAACCTGTCTACTGCCAGGGCCCTCAGTTCCGCCTAACTGTCACTGCATATGTATACAGGCTGTTTCACGCAAATCGTTACCTAAAAATATTTAGACTTTAATTAATAATCTGAAAATCTGAATACTAACATAATTTTTCATGATCTATCGAAAAAAAATACTATCGTGATCGTTCCACTTTCGGTTTCCGGTCCAACTTTCTCATTTTAAATAGAACACCCCATATTTTATTGCATTTTTGAAATCTACATGAAAATCTACGTTGTTTGATACCACATTTCTCTATACCCAGCATGAACGGTTTTCAAGTTATTTAAGATCTTTCAAAAGCTGCCCCGATCCTTCTACTCGTCCCAATCGTTTAGTCGCATGGAAGATGTAAAGGCGTGGTTTTGAGGGCTGCAATGACTCCCAGACAAGCGAGTCTCTGAACCCTTTCCTGGTCAGGCGGAAGTCTATGATGACCAAATATTTTACGGACCTGGTCAGACTCAGTTGACGTCCTTGAAGAGTGAGCCCGTCAAGGTCTGCTCTCCTTCAATTCGTAAATGAAACAACCCCGGGGTTTTCCGGGATAACAGAAAGGCCATGACTAGTGCACCTGTTCAAGAGTCCCCTGCATTAACTCTTTCATGGTTATTTCGATAGCGAGATGGTCCGCGTATCCTTGTGCGTACGAAACGCCCTTGGATCAATCTTACGACTGACTCATCAATGTCAACGCATTCAGAGGAATCGTACGTGGTATTGTTAAACGCACTTTCGATATCTAGACACTCTTCCAGAGCTACCCCCCCCCCCCCGCGACCCAGCTCAGGTAGGTACATAACTCTTAGCTTTCTCCAGCTTTCGGTGATATACCCTAAAGCCAGGGAAGCTCTAAACAGGTGCAACGTGCTCCAGGCCCTTCTGCAGAAGAGCCGAAAATATCCCGTCCGACAGACCCGGGTCTTTCAAAAGGAGTTTTTGAACTTCAGGAACATCCTCCATGTGACCACAGAAGGTCCTCCATGGCCCTCGTTTAGAACTTCGAATATGGTCCTTATACCTGCGCTGCGCGATCTTAAGATCTTCTCTGTCCTGCTTTCGGACAAAGCAAAGGTCGTCCATTCAACCGCTCAGTTTCGCCACATAACAGTCCCAGTCAGTGGATGGGAGATTCCGATACTTACAGGGTCCGCGGTGGGATGCCAGATGACAGGTGTAGTTGGAAAAGAATTTGATCAATAGCCCATATTGGAAAGGAACCAAACGTCAGATCGAGGACCTCCTGCCTCCGCGATGTGGCGAATCCACCTGGCCCAGACCTCTTACTCGTCCCCCAAGGTTCTTGTATGAGGTATACGCATGTGTGCTATACAACAAATTGCCGGCCTATTAAACAGGTCGCCTCCTTACTGTGCTGCAAATTGCTCTGTAAGAAAGTTACCTTATCCGTCACTGATACTAGGTTTCCCCCTCCCCTAGTGATGCCGACGGTCGTCGACATCTTTCTCGATCTCTGAGATCGCCGATAGTAATCCCGACGCCTCTTTGAGGTCGATAACGAGATATTGAGCCCCCTCCGTCGGAACGGCACTGGGTCTCGCTGGTCCGGTGAAGCTCTCTCCCTTACATGGCGCAGTCGGAGTACTCGCTTTCGTCACAATGTGACGCATTTGGCCACAATGGCATTCTGTGGATTCCATCGAAACCCTGCTAGCCGAGGAAAGCCCCCCCCCCCTGTTTTATCAACAACCGCATTCAATGCAGCCATAATGCACCTCGACTGAGGCTCAGTGATTTCCACATCGGGGTGCAATACCAGAACGATGGCCACCCCGAGCTCCGCCGCAGCGATTGGCCGAAACTTTGTATGCTCCAGAACTTTTAGGTTTCTTTTCAAGGGCCAGACCCTGAAATGCTTCCCTTCGTTCTGAGACGCTGGGTCCCTGACGTCAGTTTGTCCCCCTGGTCCAACAACCCAGACACAGCCTTACGCTTGACCCGAGGTTTGACCCTTGAGCCGGCGCTCCCTTGCCATCGCTGAGCCACATCTAGGTCCTTCAATAAGGCCGTGCATTGGAGCCGTCCCCTCTTTCGAGGAGCCCCGTTACCGAAACGCTTTGGCCCAGCTTGTTGGTTCCTCCAACTAGGAGCCCAGAAAGGGTTGGTTTGAATTATCGCCCATACAATTCGCACTAGTAGTGCGAAAATGCGACCTCGCCGACACCCTCTCTCTGTGTGGTTGAGTAATTACGCTCCGCTGCTGTAGGCGGCTAGCGAATTCGACGGCTAGTCTCCTTTTTCTGTGTGCGCGAGAACGGCGCCGATGGCGTACTGGCTGGCGTCGACTCTGATGACGAAGGGGTATGAAGGGGTCGACTTGCGTTGAGTGTACTGGTCAGGGGTGTCTAATTTCTGGACCTCGACTTCTTGTTTCGGTCCCCCTACCAGCGTGGTTAAAGATTTGGCGCATTTCGAGAAATCGTCTGTACCACGAGCATGTTTGTATGAAGGGATGCTTGGGGTTTTTTCTCGGGTTTTTTGGTACCGGAAATTCTGCGATGGCGACTGTTTTCGCAGGATCGACACTGATACCGGTTGGAGAGTGATGATGTGCTCGATGTACATAGCTTGTTCCCTCACGAGGTGGCATTTTTTTCTTGCGTTCTAGTGGCATTGTTTTAAGCGTGTCAGGACCGCGTCTCTACGTCCTTGGACAGTACTATGTGTCCTCTAGGTAAGCGAAGATAGTTACCTCCAGTAATCGCCCCTTTACGTGACCGATTCTAGACGCTGGAACGTGGCGGGGACGTTCCTTAACCCAAACGGCATTCTTTTGTACCGGTACAGTCTCAGTTTCTGTTTCTGTCCGTTGGTGCGATTACTATCTGCCAGTATCCGGCTGTAATAAGTCTATTGTTGACATCACGGGGACGCGTGCGGTATATAAGAGATCATCGATCCGTGGGAGTGGGTCACTGCATTCAATTTTCTATAATCCCCACATAGTCGAGTGCTTTTCTAGTTCGCAACCATGGCAAAAGGTGGCGCCCAGCATGACTCGCATTGCGATTGAGTTGCACCTGTAGTACCTGCTGCTTGGCGACGTTAATGCGGTATGGTGGCTGGGCGACTGGCTGGCACGGCCGAGTGTAGCGCTCATGGGGTGGGCTTCCCCCTGGGGTGAACGTATCCCGATGCTCTAGAAAAAGAGCGTTTAGCTTGTCCTTCTCGTGCGGTTCGAACAACGTTGCTTTCTACAATCTCACGGAAATCTCTTCCGCTTCCACCATGAAAAGAGAGACGGTCCTGCGTGGGGAATGCGGGAATATATTCAGGTGTGGCCGTGTCCTCAGAAAATACTATACAGCAGCAACCACCAGAATGTTAACGTGGACTGTTGAGAAGCGACACGACCTGAAAAGCCTATCAGGGAAACCTACGATTTACGCAAAATCCTTTACCATCGCAATGGAATCACACCACTCAAGTCACAATGTTCCCTATTCGGGAGATCCCTTCTCAACACGGTTCCCGATACTGGTAGAATCTTCCTTAGAATTTCTCATCCATAAGGCTAGAAGAACTGCAAAATCATGAATGCCAAAAGTCCTGGTCGAATTTTATAATTTTTCCTGTACAACCTTTTCCAACGGCCTCTACATTCAGACCAAACACCCTGAAGAGACCTACGAGCTATACGTTCGTCGTGGCCAGCGATGATTAGTCGTCTCTTACGACAAAAATTTGATCCGGATATCACCACTTCAAGACCGTTACTCGTATTACGCTTTGATAGTAAAATACAGTTTTTCTAAAATGGCGAAATACCGATAGCACATTTATCTACCTCACCTTCGACAATGAAACGACAGTGTCTCAGTACAACGTCTCACAAAATGATGTCGTTTCAGTTCAAGACAATTGTGGCAATTGTAAGTTCATTAATAAGGTTTAGTAGACTCTTACTCGTACTCTTTTTTCAGGTGGTATACGTTACCATAACGACATACAGCCTCAACCATCAAGCACTGGCAGTAAATGTGACCGCAGTTTGTGAACAGGCCGGAGTTCTCGGCTTCGTTTGCCAAACTTGCCTAGTGACGGCTAGATGTCAACGTAACACCACCGCTGAAGGGGGCTGGACAATAACGACCACTGGAACGTGTCCAGCCGGTAAAGTGTGCAATGCGGGGAGATGCGTCGGCGATGCTGCTTGCACTCCGACTACGACACCAGATTTCCTATGCGCCACAACTGGAATGTTTCCGGATCCCTACGATTGCAAAATGTATCACTTCTGCCCTCCGGGGGCGAACGTTTCGACACCTGCAACTTGCGGCACGGACGGTGTACCGCAATACGGTTACAATCCCGTCACAACATTTTGCAGCAATAAGTTAGCAAACAATAAGTGCACTTCCGTGCCAATTCCAATCTGCAGGAATCTTTTCGACACTGGAATTGTCGGGGGCAACCCCTCGTTGTACTATTTCTGTTCCAATGCAATAACAAATGGTCAACTCACGGACGAGTTGTATCCATATCAATATGCTTGCGAATTTGGACGCAAATACAATACCGCTTCACTCGATTGTAAATAAACTGCTTCGCGCAAATCAGCATAAATATAACTGTTTGGCATACCGTGTGTGTTTGCATTTTTACCACCCACCCTTAGTTTCCACCATCTGAACAGTAAAGTTATGGCTAATTAATTTGAAAAAGTGGATTACTCAATTAAATTCCTGGCTTAGCAAGTTAGTCAAACGCGTATCCAAAACTCAATTTACGTAAGGCAATGGATAAGCAGCGCAACCATCACCAGGGCGGCCACGTGTTACATATTACAATTTTTTTCAGTTGTTATCTTATCTTTCATTGCACATTAAACGCAATGTAATTTTCCGGAACTTTGTTTTCACAACTATTTGCGCTCTGCAATCTTCATGGTCTTAGTTTTTTTTTAATGATTATCGATAAGTATGTGATACCGGCAAGGATACTATTCAAATAAATAACGACTTCTTTTAGTAGGCGATGTGACATAATACAAAACCCTCATTGAATGTATTTCTTTGCGCATCTGCTCTTGCAATTGTAAGTAAATTAGCTTTAGTGTTTAATTAGTCAATTGAAAATTAGTAATGAAATCGGGTCGACAAACCAAAATTTTCGTAGTAGTCGTTTATTTGACATAGTGGTACAATGAGTGTTTAGACTCGATCAAAAATTACTTCGAGGATTACACAACAGCCGGTTAATCGCCATAAAATAAACATACTGTTTCAAAATCTTGTAATTAGACCGTCATTGATTTTTTAGCTACGATTAAACCTACTCTTAAAACGTGCCGACTAACAACTACTCGCAAGGGCCATATTTTGGATAGGTACTTACGTCACTCGATCGAGAAAAAAGTTACAAAACCAGTGCTATGTAAACACTCAGTAGTAGTAGAAATTCATTCTGTTAGTGTCTCGCATACTCGCCATCACCATGGTCATCGTGTCGAATTATTGCCATAAGAAATAAAGTACTTGGTTTTGGTATAGCCGATTTTGTAATTTTTAGCGCATTTTTTAACAATTAAAAAAAATGTGCATTTGTTTGCGTTTCTACCGTTTTGAACTACTTCTAGAGGAATGGTCCTAGAGAACTGGAATTTTTTGCAGTAGGTATCATATACCAGACGGCCATCAAATTTCGCTGTCTAAAAGGCTCCCCCCCCCCCCCCCCCCCCACGTATTATTTCCTGAGATGCTGTTTTTGAAAGTAAAACATGCATAACTTTTACATACGACAATCAATTGGTCTCAGATTTTGTATACGCAAGAACGGATTTTCGGAAGAGGTTACTCACAAAGGGCGATTGAGACGTCTGCAAGAAATATATCCATTGGTGATGTCAACACAAAAGCTATTTCGGTTAAAAAAAATGCGCTTTATCTGCACAGGAGTTGTGTACAACTTATACTTGTTTTCCTATTTAGTCACGTAAAATTCCATTATGGCGCCTATAATAAATCAGAAAGTTGATGTGATATACTCCAAGTTATACAAATTTTAATTTACGTACACTACCATCTAGTCGTCCACTCTTGGAAATACCTGGTTAGTGGTTTGTCATCTAATAAGGATTCGAGGAAATGGAAATTGGCTCCTTGTAGCGAAAGGGTGCATTTTCTGTTTTCAAACTCCTACTGAATGCACAGCGTTGCGTAATATGTACAATGACAGTGTTGATTGGGAAAATATTAAGCGGATGAGAATTCTCTCCTCTGCGCATCCCTACTTTCTAACGATTTCGCCCCCAAAATGGCGGTTTGTTAATAAAACCGTCCATCTTTAATCATAATAATTTCGCGAATTATGCGCGTTCTGGAGCCATAAATCAAACACACGGACTTTTAATATTCAAAATAGATTCATCCCCCCGATAGATGCGTCTCGCCGACTTGTATCTTTTTCCCTTTGTGAGTACCTACTCTCTTCCGACATCCTTCCAAAAAGTTCGAATTCTAAGGTTTACAACAGATTTTGTCATAAAACGTTCGTTTTGATAAATTCGGTCCATAATACTCGCCTCCAAGTAAATACGCACTTGGAACCTTCCGGGAAAAAGGTTCGCCTATGATTGCCCAGTATTTCTGTCGCCTTGGAGGAAATCGACTATTTCCAAAAATTATGTCAAAACCTCAGTACTCTTATGGTGGTATTCGGGAAATGGCAATGGCATTGTCGTCTACTGAGAGCTACCCCTTACCCCCCCCCCCCCTCAAGACCCACCCGGTTTCATCTTTTTTTATAAACCGTGTAGACTTCAGTAGTAGGAGGTTTCATGACAGTTGTTGGGGAAGTCTGATGAAATGCTCTTCCCCTTACCGCAGGGCAGATAACATACAACGAGGGAGAGGGGTCTGATGGTATGGAGTACCCCCAACAAACGAGAGAATTGACAACTATTTCCCAAAAATTATGGTACAACCTCAGTACTCCTATGGTGGCATTCTAGAAATGGCAATGGAGCAGTCGTCTACTGGGGGGGGGGGGGGGGGGGGGGGTATTCTATAGCTCCCAGACCACCCGGTAACACCTTCTTTTTCAAACCGTTTAGGCTTCAGGTCTCATGACAGTTGTTGGGAAAAGATTATGAGATGCCCTTATCCGTATCGCGGGGTGCATAGATTCAGGGGGTTTGGGCGTGTGGAGACCCCCCCCCCCCCGAGATAATTCACGACTATTTCCGAAAAATTATATTTAAAGCTCATAGCACGATTATGGTGGTATTCTTGAAGTTGCATTGACACTGTCGTCTATTGGGGGGGGGGGTGTGCAATACCCCCCAGACCGCTCCGTAATACCTTATTTTACAAAACGTTTAGGCTTCAGATCGAATGGCAGTTGTTCCATATGTATTATGAGATCGTCTTTTCCCTACCACTAAGAACCCGGGGGGGTCAGGGAGGTATTTCACCCCCCCCCCCCCCCTCAGCAAACGAAGGAATCGACAATAATTTCCAAAAAATTATGTTAAACCTCAGAGCACTATTATAGCGGTATTCTGGAAACTACAAATGGAACTGTCTACTTAGCGGTTTTTTTATTTTTCATTATTGTCCCTATCTTGTTCTGGACCTTCAACAGGCGTGTGCCCCCAATTACAGAGTGACCCATATAATGCTTTTTAGAGGTGCCCCTGGCAGAAGCTCTTAAGTTGTTAACATATTACTCCGATATTTACCTTGCCAATTAAAAAAACTGCACAGGAAAACCTAATTCCGAGCCACCGGCTGAATGCTCGAAGAAAAACAAAATTCCCATCCCTGCCACAGATGAAAAATTCTTACCTCAACCCAGGTTCGAACACCCGACCTTCCGGCTATGTAGCCTAACGCTCTACCGCTGAGATTCATAGCCGGATTCTCTTACAAGAACCTGCATTTATTCTGCCTTCCAATGATTTTTCGGAAACTCTAATGTTCTTCAAAGATCCTGAAAAAAAATTCTTTCACGGGTACTTTAGTGGTTCCAAAATGGTCACTATAAATTCTACAAGTCTTTCTTTCAAAAAATTCTCGAATCTTTCAGTGGGAAATATTTAAAACCCGAGGCCGAGGCCGTTGTACCAATTACTCCTATTTCTGATTCAGACAAACAGGTTATGGTTCTGAATAACTGTTTACCTGTTATTTGTTTACACGTTTACCAGTGCTTACGTTTGACCTTCTGCTCCTCCTTGGAACCGATAGTGAATCAATAACACAGGTCAATGACACCAATTAACCTTTAACATGAGGCAAATGACCCTGAAGTTGGCGCATGCGTAGATCTCAAGGTCAAAGACCGCTAGTATTTTTTTTATCGCGAGTACAAATCTTCATTCAACCTCTTTTTCAGATACCAACTATCTTAGTGCTTAAGTCGCAAACGCACACCAAATACACTGACTATCGTTTCGTTGGAGATCTTGTGGTTGTGGATGCCGTCTATGAATGTAGAGGATCAGGTTTGCAATGCATAGGTTGCTGTGAAATTTCCTACTGCGAAAGGAAGAACGCCACCTGGATAAGCTCAACGAGGTCGAGGTGCCCTGAAGACGAAATCTGCCAAAACGGCGTTTGCGTCAAGAACTGCGACCGCATTGCAAAGGTACCTTTCATTTGCACCACAAGCGGCATGTTTCCCGATCCGTTCGATTGCCAAGCCTACCATTTTTGTACACCTGACAAGTTGGACGCGCCAGTTTTGCAATCTACAAAAGCAAAATGCGGAGATACTTCGGTGGGGAGTTACGGTTACAATCCAAAGACGACGTTTTGTAGTGACAAACTATCGGATGCGAAGTGTACTGATTTTCCTGTACCCATATGTGAAAGGATGCTGCAAAAGGGCATCATATCTCGGAACCCAACTTTGTATTATGTTTGCCTGAATCATCCCCTATTGAACGACACGTCTATTTTGTATCCGTTTCAAATGGCTTGCCCATTCGGGAAGACACTTTCCCCATGTGGATGCGAGTGATGGAATGATTGCGTGAGAAGCTTTCAACAACAATAGTTGCATTACATAAGGGTTGTTTTTATAATCGGATATCTGTTAGAGTACAATTATAAAACTACACTAAAACATAAATTTATGGTTAAGATTTGCTTTTTTGGAGTTGTAATGTTTTCTTAATCGGGTCATGGTGGTTTCATTAGTTGGTAGGATTTCCCAATTTTTTTCGGTTTTGTATATGGGAGGATATTGCTGAAGTACGGTCCTTACTTTTTAAATGCGTGTGAAAGCTGGAGGCGCCGAGAAGTCGTGGGACAAGAATGCAGAAGGAACTTATTCTGCTAATTGAAAGTTTACACATTACCGTAATAACTTAGGAATTCTTTCTTTTTAAATTTTATTTGTTACTCAGTTGTAAACGTTGATTAACAAGACAAAACGCCAACGGGTAAACGTCATGTTTAAACGCTACTGACTTGTAAAACTGACAGCAGACCTGTAAAAATTTTACAAGTTAGTAATCTAGTAATTTCATTGGCCAGAATTAATGCGAAGTCTCTGTTACATGGATAATATGATATTTTAGACATTTCATCGAGATCAATTTAAGAACTAATTATTTACGTTTACAAATGAGTAACAAATAAAATATTGTACATTATACGCCAGGTAATAGTTTTTACTGGCTCTAGGAGATGACGGCTCGCTAGTCAACTTCTCCTATCGCCAGTAAAAACTCACTTACCTGGCTAATAATGTAAAATACTATAACCTTAACCAATACAAATAACGTGTTGTTTACAACGAACAAAGATTCCACAAGGTCACAATCCCTTTTAGTCCGTATTAGCTTGACGTGGCGTTGATCTCCATACATTTCGTGTTTGTTGAAAATCCCCCTAGGTCAATGTCTGTATTTGTTGGTATATGAAGTTGTTTCTTTGCGGTAACCGACAAAAGTTTGACATACGTTGACAAATTTGACTTACGTTTCGTGCCAGATTGAATAGTCTTCCGCTTTCCTCACATCAAGGTTATTACAATTAATTGGATAATCACGACAGAGATTAGAGCTCATTAATGTATGTGCGGCCTGGGAGCACGCATCTTGTTTCCTGAGCAACTTCGTACGCATGCATCTGTACTGTAGATCTGTCTATTAAACTATTTACGCTTTTAACTCCCCCCAAAAAAATTAATTTGTCGTCGCTAAAGTCTACATGAGAACTTACCTGCACGACAGTTCAACTTCCTCGAGTAATTAAACTCCGCGATTAAACTAGTTAACGTTTCTTTTTCGTAGAATTTCTATCAACTAATTTTTTCGTACCGCTCAACAAATTTATACAGATTTGCTTTGAAGTGCTTGTCTTTTACTAATACAATAACAACGTTCCGAAGATTGCAGGTTTGGGTCCTACTACGGCCGCCATGTACTGATGTTCTGGTAGTAAGGGAACTTGAACAAATTCGCGCCCGGATAAAATACCTACTTCCCCTCCAACCCTCTCAACTTTAAAATGAAACCAATTTAGGCTGAGAAAGATCTGGTTTTGCATTTACAAATTTGCTAGTATAGAAAATTTTATACGTGTACCGCTCTATAATGAAAGAGAATGAAAGTAAAATGCCAGATAAGCAACGAGTGTGCAACCAGATAAAAGTCAAAACGCCACGGTGTTGCCAGTTCTAAAAACCGCTCTGACGTAGCAAGAGAGACCACTGTTCTGCTACACCTTTACATGTAGTACATGTGTTGTTGTGTGTTGCGGTCGTTGCGACATTCGGGTTCATCGAGTACATAAGTAAAAATTGGGTGGGAGAGATCGCCGAACTTTCGACCCGAATCTACTTAGCGCAGCATTTTTATATCGCGTAATATTTGCAACTGAAAGTTGCGAGACGAATTCGTATATTTGAGGTATACGGAAGATTTAAATCACCGTATGTGATATTTTTATCGCAAAAGTTAAAGTCAATTACCGCATTGCAAAAGAACATTGTGCCGCCAACTCAACGAAATTATTGACTTAAAATTCTCAGCGAGTCGCCATTACAAGTAAACTAATATCAAGTGATACAAAAAGAGAACTTCGTTGTGTAGTGGAATCGACCGATTGCCTGATTTACTTTCAATCGTAAATATAATGCGAATTGCCCTCTTAATACGCGAGCGAATATTTTCGATCATTATTGATCTTGTTTATAAGGGGTTTATAAGATCCGGCAACCGGTAAAAAGTTTAAAAGCGAATAGCGATTCGTTACCTGTTGTAAACCGTAAGTATAAGTCGTACACGAATTCGGCTCGGGTTTTTTGAAATTTCACGCGATTATACAAAACTGCGCAATCCATTGCAAAACAAAATGTCATTTACAAGTTTTTAATACGCATAAATAAAACCAGCCCTAAACAGTCGATTCCGATTCACTTGTTTTCACTCGTACAATTTGGAATTAGAGATAATTTCGCATCCCCTTTACCATAAAAACATTTTGGGTACGAATAATCACGTAGCTGCCGCAATATCTATGTGTCGCGCTATTCACTATCCTTCTTGTATGTTTGTTTGCGTTTCTATCTGTTACAGATAAGGCAGAAAGAGCCCTTCTGAGCTTAAAAGGCCGTTACAACCAGAGTTCAAAACGAATGTTTTTTTTTCGACGACTTTTTGATAGGGTTATTCTTTCCCATCAATGCACGGATGAAAGTCAAAGTTTGAATAACCGAGTTAAAGAAAATACGTTTGCGGACTCCTTTTACAGAAGGAAGAGTGGGGGCTGTGCAAACTAACACTACGCCAACTAATTCTAAGATGATTTTCTTTCCGAGAGTCTATGAAATACGGAAATAAGGCCAAGCTAGAAAGCAGCGACGGAGAGTCAATAGTTGGGGCCGAGCACTTTAATTTCCGAGGCAAGTAATGTCATTTTACTAACGAGTACCCGAAATCGTTTTTCAATATAAAATTTCAATTTTTATATAAAACTTTTGATTAATGTCAATCTCTCAGGGATAACAGGAGTCATTAGACATTTAGCAATGTCACAGATGCCGCCGGTAAAGTGACGGTGCGGCCGGTAAAGTGACAGGTGCGGCCAGTAAAGTGGTAAGAAACGTAGTCTGCTCTGCCTCGGTCATGGAAACTAAACTTTCCTGACAGAAAGTAGGCATGAAAATGAAGGTTTTTCAGGACGATTTTGGGTAAAAACGGTTTTCTAAAATTCCATCCCTTGACACATATTCTAACCTTAGGAATACCCTCGCTTTTATTGCATTAAAAATTAGTACTTAACCTAATAAGATAATACACTCATTCCCAAATAAAACGTCATACCAATTCCTAGGATTTTTATCTATCTGTTGAATTCGTTAGTAATCGCATGGAGGTAAATACCATAAACCATATTATAATTAACTATTAACTACTTATAACTTTTTTCAAGACTAAACCATTTTGGACAATCTATATTAGCTATATTGTTATTAAATGCAAAAGTAAATTTACCTTCTCATATCTTGATTGACGAAATAAAATTTGATCTTGTACATTTTTTTTTTAATATTTGCCTGCCATTTTATAGATTGTTTGCGCACATCTAATCACATGCTAATAAACACGGTCTATTTGCCTAACTGAAAGTATAAATACGAATTTTATTGCGAATTTTCCATACAGCCGTTTGAAACGCTACAATGAAGTCTAGTATTTTGGCGATAGTGGTAAGTGCCCTTTTCCTGTCAGCTCTTCAAAGAACAATAAAACGTTGAATGCATTTTAGGTGGCCATGTTAACAACTGTAGCTGATGGATACTTGGACTATCGTGGCTTGCTAAGTCGAGCAGAAGCCAACGAAACCTGCCAAGATGCGGGACGGCTTGGGTTAGCATGCAGTTCTTGTAACGAAATTGGTAGGTGTCTTTGTAACAGCGACGGCAGGAACTGCACAATAACGGGATACCAGCCATGCCCTGCTGGGAGAATATGCAAACAGGGAAGATGCGTAGTTGGCAGTATATGTACTCCGGAGAAACCACCCGAGTTTCTCTGTTCTTCGCCGGGCATGTTTCCGGATCCATACGACTGCAAGGCCTACTACTTTTGCGCTCCTTGCGATGGTACCGTATTGAAGGCGGTACGAGTTGCCTGCGGGGAGGATCTTGCAACGGGTACAAAATACGGATACAATCCGGCCACGTACGTTTGCAGCAACAGGTTGACGAATGGAGAATGCACCACGTTGCCGATTCCCGTATGCAAGCGCCCTTTCGAAATGGGAGTCGTGGGAGGTAATTCGAACTTGTATTACACCTGCTTGAACGTGACAGTTGGCAACCAAATGACCTCAACGCTATACCCTTACCAAGATGCTTGTGAGTTAGGACGAAGATACAATGTTGCTACGGGAACTTGTGCCTAAAATGTCTACCTATCTGTACACCACGAGTTCGATATGTTCTAATTGTATTTAATCTTAAACTTTGGGACGATTTTGTTGAAAGCGAATGGTGAATGTCTCAAAGAGATTGGTACGTGCGCTCTATTTTTAGTCTTTAAGAAATAAATCATACTTACCTTAGTTTTTTACATCAAAGATTTGAGGCTACGCCCCTCTAAAGTAGTTCAATAAGCTGATTTCACAATGAGGTGGGCGAGGCTAACTTCACTGACATTAAAAAAACCCAGATTTCAATCCAACCGATTTCCCAAACCCAAACGGATCAAATTCAGATTGAAGATTAGATCCAAGAAGAGATTGGGGACGTTAAACATAGGAGACATTGACACCAAAACACATTTTTGGAGCGAGTAAACACATTATTTTTGTGCAAATATTTTGGTTGCTTATGACTTGGTGAAAAATGATTCTGTACAGAGTTTAAAAACGTAAAACCTCTTTAACATGGTGGTATTCATGTTTAATGCTTTATAATTTGGTTTTTCTTTCAAAATATGTAGAAATATATCGCGTTGTTTTTTTCAATTGCGCATTTCTTTGCAATCTAGAGAAATTTACATTTGCACCGCTTTATACGGAAAATGAACTAAAGTAAGTCTGGCGATAAACAAGCGATAAGCAAGACGGTGTTGAAGGAATTTCGCGATGTTGCCGCGATATCTTTGGTCGTTAAAATTGCGTCCGTTCCATTGTAAGCACCACCACACGAGGCCACCACATTACTGTATATAATTTCATATAATAGTAATAATGAGTATACAGGGTGTTACATATAAGCATGTAAAAAAATTGGGTGGTAGAGGAGATTAAATCAAGCACTTTTTTCCAAATAAATCGAGGGTCCAACGTGTTTCGTTTGGGAGCCACCCCCAAACAAGTGGTGAAATTTGCATTTCTTCTCACTGGTTGCACGTCTTTGAATAGGTTTTCGGCTATGCCCTTTCCGATTTTGCAAACATTTTTTCGAAATTCCTACCACGAAAGGATGCACCCCAACAGGGGGGTGAGAAAAAAATTCCGATTTCAACGAAATTTGGTATCTGGGGGTTTCTAGACTAAAAATCACGAATCTGAAATTAGTTTTTGAGAATTCTAAAAAATAATTCCACCGCAATTCTTGACCGGACAACAAAAATGAAGAGAATTCCACGAAATTTGCTGTATGCATACTTGATGAGTTGAGGAACAAAATTGTCGAACGGTTTTTTAAAATAACTTTTCAAACAAAGGTTATACTTATTTGAAGATTGGACCTTCGGGCCACAAAGTGCCCCCCGCCTGTCTAATATAATTTTATATGTGACATTAGGATCCATCTGATCGCAAATTCAAACTTCCGGTATTACTTCCGGCATAACCGGAAGTCGATGCAAATTTTGTTTTTGAAATGCAACGCCTATTTTGTATTTTGTACAATATTTAAAAAGAGCAATCAATTTACTGTACCGCAAAATAAAATATGCATATGGTTGAAATTGAAATTCGTGATTCAATATTTAGAAAATGTATTCCATATTATACAGAAAAGACTTGTTCAATGTTTCGCTTTTTAAGGCGGCTCCACACGCAACGGAAAAACCGAAGGCATGCCTCGAGGCGCAAGACCTCAAGGAAAACCTCTATGTGTGTATGGAGAATTCTGTTGAGGTTTTCCTGCGCATCTGACGCCTGGAGGCCGGAAATTTCAATACAAAATCTCATTCGATTTGCCTCTTCTTTTATAGCGCCCCAAGGCCGATCGTATTGTGTGAATGGGTGGGAGGTAGGCCTTGAGGCGATTCCGTTATACCATTGTTTAAATACTTTAAACAATGGTTATACCCTATACGTATAGACCGTGTGTCAACCACCAAACCTGGACATAGACACATTTAAAATTACACAATTTTTAAGAAGAAATACGAGTATGAGTTTCCATATGAAATATATACCTGACACACGGTGTAGTTTTGTGTGAAAAGAGATCCGTTGCATCAAGTTTTCATATAGTCATGGCCCGTGCAAAGCAAAAACAAGAGGAATTTATAGCCAGAAATCGTAATGTGGCACTCAATTTTTCTTGAGGTGTAATTGCGGTCCTGTGTGTCCTCATCCATCCGCAAATAATTGTGCCAATCTTTCGGACTGAACCTCAGGTCTTTTAATAAATTTACATGGAAGTAACATTTCCTTTTCTGTAACCAGTCTTTAGTCCAGAACTTTCGCTTCACTCTTTTTTATTACTTTCGACAGCTAACAATAATCCAACAACAGGAAGAACGTTATCTGTCGACGTCATTTTTGCGCGAAACTGGCGTGCCTTAAGGCTGGCCTTCGTATATTCCGTAGTGTGTGGAGACCCCTTATAATTTAGGTTCGCCTCAAGGCCCGTCGCCCCGAGGCATGCCTTCGGTTTTTCCGTTGCGTGTGGAGCCGCCTTTAGATTCACTTTTGCGCAATCGGATCTCCCCGTGTAATGCAACAGGCACCGTGCATCCTGACAGCACGCGGCATGCTAGATTCCATACATTTTCTAAATAAGCAACGAATTTCTCTATTTCTTTTCAAATATCGTAAAAAATATAGGCATTGCATTTGAAAAGCAAACGTTGCATGGATTTCCGGTTAAACCGGAAGTGCTGCCGGAAGTTGCGAACAGATAGATCGTAATGTTAAATATAAAATTATATTTTCGTATCTCGCCAAATAAAAGAGATATTAATTTTACCCTCTTATCTAACTCATGTGTACTCACTATATTACTGTGTAAGCTGAATTAATAACCTCGTTCTATTCGTGTTAAAACTCCACCTTGCTGACCTTGCAGCCACCTAGTAACAATTGACGCCCAATCACGTAGCTCTTCGACGGCAACGCGACCTCAACGACACTCATGCTCGCCACTCAGATACGAGAATAAAAACCAAAAGCGGCAGACGCTCCGAATCCAGCTCCTACGTAGACACAACCGCCACAACTAAGCAACAGCGTAAGCTGAACCTCGTTGTATTCGTGTTGAAACGTTACTGAACTCCACCCCGCCGCCACCTGATAACAGCCGAGACCGTTTCTTCGATGTGAAATTGAAATTGGTTCTTCAGCTGTTTTCTGCACGGACCGATTATAGAAATCCTCGCGGTCTTCCGTGGCGATCATATGTAGAAATTTAGCATTAGCAATATATAAAATTTTAAAAAATCTGCCGGGAATCGAACCCAGGGCCCCTATGACGACGCGAAGTATCTTAATAGATATGGAATGGATAACCTATTTTTATTATTTTTATTGTTTTCTTTCTTGAAAATTCTGCGAAAATCCGTGGCGCGAAGGTGGCTTGATGTAGATGATGACTCGCTCTAGACTTAATTTCTTTCTTCGGGATTCCTCCAATGAACGGTTTAAACTTGAAAAATGCAAAACGCGCTCTGAGAAAACGATTACGTCACCTTGGACACTGCGTAATGCCGCTTAACCAATTAATCCCTCCACTATTGTATTTCTTTGCCTCATAAGCGCTTATCTTACGAGGAATTGTATAAAATACTTTTGTTTAACACATAACTTGGATGATTTTTAATTAAACAAAACTTTATCAAAACTGGACAACGACTTTGTCCTGTTAGCTGCGGTACCGCATGCATAAAACTTCAAGCGTAGAAAAACTTAAACATCTTTGATCGGCGAAAACTTCGCTTAATAACTTAGCGCAGCAGTGACCGCAGACATCCTCGCGGCGAATGTCTAGTTTATTTCCCATTCTTCGTACTTAAAGCCTAAAGGTGAAGCCACCTCCACTCATCTGTTCCATATATCGTTGTTGCCCGACGATTCTCAAACCACCGCCCGTATTGGCAAACACCTGCCTTCGTTATCTTGCACTTAGCGTTGTTAGCAAATAAAGTGAATTAATTTGTTCGATAACGCCTTTACAAAACATACGACCAGATAAAACGTTTACGGTTGCCAGTGCTGTACCAAGACCTGATTATTAGCCCAAGAACTTTATAAACTTTGATTTATCTTCTATGTATTGTAAATATGTTAATAAAATTTAGGTTTTAGCTCATAGTAAAGCACACCATACGGTTTTGTGCCAGGGATTTATCGCGATAATAAAGGACAGATAGGTACTTGAAACGAATCGCTGTAGGTACATTTATCGTGCGTGGGGTTGAGGACGAGATCCCTAAACAAATGAAGCGCGCTCGAAACACGAAGAGAACTGTTGATTCACAATCCCGCAAACTATAAATAGCAAAGGGGAATTCGCACGAGGTAAAATATAACGCGAGTGCAATACGTGTTTCAAACCGAGCCGAATGACTGAAAGCATCTCAACGTAAGAAAATATATCTACGCTATTGTGGAACAATGTCCATTATCCTACTTCACTTAATACGAATACCAACGGATCGTCGCAGAGAAAATATTTAAGAGGTATCGTAAAACATGTCGTTATTGTATTGTTTTTCAATCTTCGTCAATTAAATATCTTAAGGGTGCCATACAAGGTGCCATAACAATTTCAATTTACTGATAAATAGCCACGAACTTAATTAAGATGGACTGCTGATCAAACAGTTGCATAGAGGTAGAAATGGCCCTAGCATGGGCGCCGCCATGATGTGCACATTCTAGTTATTTTCTAGGGGAATTTTCCTAGTGCTCAAGTATTGCAGCCTTCGAAAATGACATGTGTCACAATAATTTATTTGTGAGGTTAATGATGGGTTAATGCTTGTTTATTAGTTGATTTGAATTTCGCGCCATGTGAGTGCACATCATGGCGGCCCCCATGTAGGTGTCATTTGTTATCTTCATCATTAGCAGTCCATCTTAATTTATAAGTTCGTGTAAATAGCTAACTTTGTTTCCATTAAATTGCAAAAAAAGGAGCCATTAAGATATTACGGCTACGTATAAATTTTCAATTAGCCAGCAAAGTTTCCATTCTATTGTATCTTTATTTTTTAATGAGACTTAACTGAGAAGTAGATTATTGACTACACATAAACGGACGAATGAGATCCGCTGACACCTCGGAATTTGCGTACTCGGCGCCTAAAGGCTTCTCGTCCTTAGTCCACAATACACTAATTTCGTTAGAAAAATACTAAAAACAGTTGCATTGTACCTACTGTTTAAATAGATCGAATTTTTACCAACAAAAATGGTTGCATCGGCCGGGAATCGAACCCGGGCCGCCCGCGTGGCAGGCGAGCATTCTACCACTGAACCACCGATGCGATACTTTTTCAATTGCATTTCTGTAAATATCGATGGGTTGTAACCTTTGATCATATACCATGGTGGTATATGATCGAAAGGCATAACCGAGAGTAAAAATATCCCAAGGAACAGTATTTCAAAAATATTATACAGAGTATAATATAAGAGTAGGTATGTAAAAAAATTGAGTGATAGAATTAAAACTTCTAGTCTAAATATTGACCGAGAACATTAAGTACGCACTTCCCAAAGTAAATTTTTTGTTTTAAAATCAAGATTTTTTTCCAATTAGGTATTCTGCATTTAAAGGAAAACTAATCGGGTCATTTAGAATTTTGGAACGAGACGGACTTTCTTGAAAAAATTAAAAAAATGTCCATTAGGGGTATAGTGAACCCTAGTTATTCAAAGAGTGAACCTCATCTCCGACCATATTATATGATCTCTGATATAACTGAGAAGTTCCACCCTGTAAATATAACCTACGATGATGCACGCATTTTTTAGAGCTAGCAACCGTGCGACTTTTTAGAAGGAGAAAGCAGGCAGCTTGGTTTAAGCCGTCTTTGAGAGAGCATCGTGTAGTTTAAGTTTGTTGTGTTTTATGTTGTTATGCGGGTAGTGACATTTAAATTTCATTGTAATGTATTTGTGTTCGGTATACAACATTTTATGTTTTTTTTATAATTTTTGTTTTTGAAATAGATACTTATTGTAGAGAAAAGTAATGTTTTTATTGCTCAATTTACGGTTATGTTTTGAACACATGTTCTTGGCCCGCAGTTTAATAGCGTTTTCGATTGGCAAAACTCGTATTGCACGAGTGTTGCACGTGAAACTGAAGAAATACATGTGAAAATTGCTCTCAATGGAACATAAATATTCGTAAATATTTGTTGTCATTTGTCCATAACCTCATTTTAGATTTAGGTAATCAGCAAATCTCTATTCTAAAAAATGACAAACGATTTCAGTATTATTTATGATAAACGATGAGGAATATAAATTTAAAATTCCTGTAAAGGACCAATTTTTGGCGTTCAGTTTAATGAGTAAGTGCAACTTTTTGTAAAATAGAAGTTATGGCTAGTTCATCATCTTCGCTATCGGTAGATGACGACAAAAAACTCTCCCAACGCAAGAAACAAATTCAAATTGTCGCACGTTTGTTTTGAAAATTTGTTAACTAGCAGCTCCACGAGCTCTCGGACCTCGTGCGTCGAAATTTGCACTGAGTGCGTAATTGTTGCATCACATTTGCCAATGGAACACAGGAAATTGCCCTAAAATTACCAATAGAACGTAAAAATTGCACTCGTGCAGCACGAGTTTTGCCAATCGAAAACGCTATAATTTATATATTTAGTCATTTATTTAAATATGTGGAGATTATCAAATTGTTCGGTGTCTGTATTGACTTGTTGTATGTGAACCAATGCTTTTCGCCTTGGAGAGACACTCCCAGGGTTGGAAAAACTGTAAACAAATTAGTTACGACATCTAAGGATGTGATTAATCTCAAATATCAACTGTAGGCTTTCATTTCTCGCACGAGAGACAAGTTACAGGTCCCAGGAGTGGGACCCTGTTTACAAAAGCTCTCCGGTTTTGAATCCATGTGCGATATGAGTTGAGATCTATTAATTTCCACATATTACGTAGTTTTAGCGTTGAATTTGCCTTACAAGGACATGTTATTTTCCATGTGGCTGGGGTACATTGTACATGACACTTTCTTGTGGAAACGCCCTTTACTTTAAGAGAAACTAAAAAATGGACCTAGGTGTCTGGAGCCCAATTTTAAAGAGAAAATCACTGGCACAGAATTCAGCTATCACTAATCGTTTGGCCGCTAGAGCGCGTTTCTCCAATTTAGTCGATTTCCTTAATGCCCTATAACTTTCTTATTATTAAAGATAATATTGATTTTGGCAAAATCTTTCTTAGAGCATTTTTTATGTAACATGCTTTAAGTAAGACACATCAGCTGGTACTTAGCGATAAGAAGTTTTATTGTAAGGTCCAATCTAATTAACGCACGTGTTCTGGTGTTACTAACGACAGTGTTTCGAAGAATTGCGCGTTTTCTTAAATACTGGAGACAACAAGAAGTGTCGTGACGTTTGGAAGAGAGCGTACCTACATTTTGTCATTTTTATAATGAATGTTTACCGAACCATGCTAACCAAAGGGGGGTAAGAAGTTTAACGCGTATTGCCCGATTTCGGAGAAAGTTTCGTCGAGGAAAAAGCAAGCACTTGTAGTACAGCGAGGCCTTTCGTTAAAGTTCTCTTCTTATTACAAAGATTCTACCACCCGAACAGCCACCGAACATTTGTCATCTTACTCATCAAGCCAATTTTGTTTGTCATCTAATTCTGTGTTATAAAACAAAAACCGAAAGTAATTTTAAGATTTCTTATTTTATTCGACCGCCTGAGTGCGGGGTAATATGTCCAAACAGGAATTTTGTTTTAATTTTTTTCATGTATTACGGAAAAAAAATTTGACATTGTCAATCAATTAATTGTGTATTTATTCGAATCTATTGTACGACCCGGTTACACTTTTTCATGCCAGATTTTTCTTTTCGTCGTAGATGTGTTTGGCTTTTATACGACCCTAAACTATATTTTTGCATATGGACCGCCCTATATATTTTGGAGTTTTTAAAAAGATATTTATATTTATATTAAATATTATTTGTAATATTGCATTTTATACATTAAAATCTTTTTATTGTAGGCACCTAGGTTTCCATGGCGAACAAAAGGTGGCAGGATATTTTAAAACGGAAATTTCTTGGTTACCTTTATTATTTATGTGTATATTATATGACTTATTTGTTTTCACCGAATGTGTTTTCACGTTCTTTGTTTCTTGTGTGTTACTTGAAATTAAAAATCTTTGGAAACTAATAAACATTAAACTAACTTAATGGAGCCCTAACTTTGCGAGGATCTTTGTAACGGAAGCCCGCTTTGCAGCTTTCGACTTTTATCTATGGGGACTTTTACCAAGATGGCAGCGAACTTTCCAGCTTCGTTGGTTCCATCTGGACGGGGCTCGTGAATTGGATGAAACGGGACGCTGTTTGTGCAAGATTTGAGTTGGGTCCTTTTCGGTTTTTCTACGCGCTAACGTAAATAGCGAAGTAAAACTAAAACGGGGATAAATAGTGGCAAGCATCAGCTGCAATTTGAATCGCTCGGCGTAATAGATAAAAACACAACAAGGAAATAAAAAAGGTAGTGAATCGCGCTGCATATAAAATATAGCGAAGTAGCAATGCTAACGTTTGACACAGGCTAATCGTACACTAAAACTATAATTAATACTTAAGAATCAATAACGCAGCTAATATGAAGGATACAATGTAATTGAACTAACAAAAATGAATTATCGCAGTAACAAAAGTATCGTTAAGAAGATCGGTACAGGCAACATCAAATCGGTAACGACAAATGCAAGACACGTAGGGTCAGGTATAACGAAGTGATATACAAGATCGCTAACCTCCACGATTTTGTAATATATTTGCGGCAACATCTCAGGAGTAAATACCGAAGGTCAACAAACTTCATGTTACTAGGTTACAGGTAAAATCAGCTGTTTAAGAGAATTGAAGTAGAATTTTCACAGCCGGTAATGTAAAAACTCATCTATGACGCCGTTCTTGACTCGTTAAAATGGCGGTGGACCTTCACACATGAATTTTTCTTGCGCAATATTGCGAAAATCCAAAATTCGGCGGTTTCCACTCGGAAATATCGATGTCGAAAGCACAACTCGGTAGGTAGGATCGTATGTATCGTATGGATGGCACTTCCTAGATACAGACGTTTTCAGATCGCAGCCGTCTGTGCGACCTAACGACAGTCATGGTATGACTGATGATGATGTTCCGTACCACTAAAAATCTGGCAAGTGGTGGGATTCGAACTCACCACCTGTGAGGTTAGAGTCCGAGTCTTAAACCGTTACGTCAAATTGGCTACAATCCAGTAGATAATAATTAAGAAAAGAGTAAACCAGAAGTAAGAAGCCGTAAACGACCTTAAACCTTGTAAAATATATCCGCAAATACCGTCAGGGAAGCATGCAAATCAAAATAAGAGAAACACTTCACTAAAATAATACAGCACCAGTAAATAGAACCAAGGTAAAGATAAAATCTGCTACAAGAATAACTGCCTTAAACTAGTGCATTACAAAGAAGACACCTAGATGGCGTAAGGATACTAAATTTAGATTAGAGCGAACAGAATTTAAATAAACGAGAGTATACAAGGTGGCACAACGAAAACGAAACAGACTGAATAATTCGCAAGGAAATAGTTTTTTGGAAAAAAACGTAAAAATACGTCGATTTTGATTGGAAAGGGGCATCTTTTACTTAAAAGTCAATAATTTTAGGGTCGAGTGACACATCATTGGAAAGGGCTTTTAGTTTCCTCCACAAGGTCTTCTTACTTTTGGGTGGACGTTCCGCGTCCTAATATCTGCTTTTGCCACCAACCACTGGCTGACGATTCTTCTTTGATGTCGCAGAAGTAGGTGTAGACCACGGACGTTAAAGGTATTTTTAACGTCCTTGGTGTAGACAATGATTGCCCTAGGAATATCCTTCCCAACGACAGCCCACGGCACCATGCCTTGGCCACTCTTGGCTACGTTTAGTATAGCCTCAGATAGCTAAGGAACACCATAGTCAGCGAGTACCTACATTGTATTTTAAACCTGACAGTATTTGTTGATTTTCACTTGAAGCCGATGTACAGTATCTTTCAATATTTATTTGTCATCATACACACAGATATAAATAAGAATCATACAGTTTTCCGTTTTCGCACGCGTAGATAAATGGGTACAAGGAACTGTTGGCCTGCGGATGGTATTGGCAAATATAGTAGAGCGAAGGATTCCTTCTAAGACTACCCGTTTGCCCTTTGAATCCGCAATGAGCTATCTGCGAATCCTCTGGACATGCGGAGTCTCGCAACCTAACGTCGCAGAACGTTGTCGAAGGGCTGTACCCATAGCTGCAGCGGCAGCGTTCAGTAAAAAGCTCCAAAGTTGTGGCTCTCGGCGATTTCACACAATGGTGGTAGGTTTGGCAATCGAAAGGGTCCGGGTACATTCCTGGTGTTCGGCACATGAACGCATTGGAGCCGGAGGGGTCAATAGGGCAGTCGGGGTTTTCGTCCAGGGTACAGGCACCATCTAGACAGTTACTCACTGGACTACAGGCGGCGATAGGGATTTCGATAAAGCTACCACCGAAACGTACGCAGTAGACAGATTTCTTGCAAGATTTGCACGCGTATCCCTCTTGCTGGCAGAACGTTGAATTGTGTATAGGCTCAAAAGGTAATAATCGTGATATCTCTGTTGATTCTGCGTTTGCGTAGGATATCACCTAAAATGTAGGTAAGAAAATTTTTCACGGAGCCACAGTGAAAGTACTTACAGTCACTAAAAAAATAAAGATGAAAGTCTTCATGATTAGTACGTACACTGTAGCATGGAACTGAACTAAAAGATGATGGAATAAGAGCTTATCCTTTTTATGTGATGGATAAGTATATAATCACGATTGAGATATCGGATTTTAAGATAGCGTAAAGAGTTTCCTCTCGTTATCTGTTATTAATGATACATTGCTGACTTGAAACTGATATTTCATTCTGAAGTTCCATAGTTACTATGGGGAGTGCTTCCGTGATTAATACTATGAACAAAATACTTCACCTGCATCACGAATAAACCTATTTTCACAGCCTGAAATACAGTTGTATCATGTCGCTCTCATGTTTAGGTACACACTAATCTTTTGCTATCAGTTCTGCTTGTCATCATTTTGCCATAAAAGTTCAATGGTTATATTTTGGAGAATCCTTTTTTCACCTTGAACTTTGAATTCATTAGAACGATTTATTTTTTTCTCATTCCCCTTGACTAGTATTGTTTTCTGATTTTGGTCTTCGCTGGGAAATGTGTTTCAATGGATTGTGTTGATGAATCTACACTACTCTTGTAGTTACCAGCGATTTCTGTTCTTGACCTTATGTACTCTACGAAAGAAGACTAAGTTTTATACCCATCCTGGGTTTTAGAGATATAAGGGAATCCCATGACGATAAAGGATCGAGGAGGAGGAGGCTGGTAGAAATTAATTCCTTTCGTTGAGAACTTTCATTAGAGTACCATGAAGAATAAAACCAGTTCCATCCCCCCCCCCTCTTTTAATAAAGGGTAAGAAAAAATGGCGGTAGTTGGTCGAAACTGGTTCCTTTCGTTGATTGAGACCTTTAATTACATTACCATGAAAGCCCCGCTGATCTCAAAAAAGAGGTGCACGGGAAAGTTATAGTTTCTACAAGCCAATTTATTGCGATGAGGCCCCCCCCCCCCCATTATTTTAAAGTTTTACTTGCCACCACTAAAGACATGCGTATGCAAAAACTGAGACCAATTGGTTATCGTAGGTAAAAAGTATGCACGTTTTACTTTCAAAAAACGCATCTTAGTAAACGGTAAAAGAAAGAAACAGCAGAAAACAGAAAAATTAACTAAAACTAGCGGAAAACAAACACCATAACAACAACAGAACTGAAATAGCGACAACGAAAACGACAAACAACAAAACCATAGAACAGCGAAATTGAAAATCACAAAAACGATCAGAACAACAACGAAATCGTGAACTGCGAAAACTATAAAAAAAGAAAACGACCAAGCAAACAGAAAAACGAAAATTATCGAACCATGCAGATCTAACATAGCACTCACGAAAATACCTAAAACGAAAGCAACAAAAACGAAATCGATAAAACCAAAACAAAGGAAATAAACACAGCGATATTTAAATTAAAAAAGGGAAGGCATCAAAAGAAGAAAACAGAAAAAAACAATGCAAAGGAAAAGACAGGAAACAAACAGCGAAAGCAAGAACAGGGGCACCGAAAGCAGAAGCAAAAATCAGAGAAAAGTATGCAAACATAAACGGTGAAAACGGAAATAGAGAAAAGAAAAGGAAAACAGCAAAAATGAAAAAATGAGAACGGCGAAATAAGGAAAACCTGAGATCAAAAAAGTACATCTACGACCGAAAACAGAAACTTCTAACACAGTGAAATCGGAAAGAAAAAAATGATACGAGTGAAAACTAAAACGGCAACAACTGATAGCGAATAAAGCGCAAATCCACCAAAATCGAATCAGGGAACATAAAAATAGAATACGAAAACAGCGAGAGCGTAAACGTCGAGAAATAGGACAAAAATCACAAAAACGAAGAAAAATAAAATACACAAAAACAATTGCAAAACAAACAAAAAAACGAAAACAGCGAAAACGAAAAACCACAACAGCAGAAAATCGGAAGTGATTGAAAAGGTGATGAAAAGAAGAATTATTGAAAATCTAATCCATATAAAAAGAAAAACAAAGGTAAACGAAAGTAACGAAAACGATGAGAACTCAACAACAGCGAATCCTAAAACATCAAACTAGAAGAAAACGAGAACGGCGAAAATGAAAACAGGGAGAACAAAAACGGTATAAGCGAAAACAGTGAGGGCGACAATGGCACAAATGAAGATGAATACTTCGAAGATATAGAAACGGTGGCAATGAAAACTGCGGAAACAAGAACAGAGAAACCGAAACACAGCGAAAGCGAAAAAATTCGAAATCAACGAAAAGAGAAGCAAGAATAACGATAAGGGACAGAAAATTATATCAAACAAATTGAAAACATAAGTGCCAAAACGTAAAAAAACATAGGATGTCAGAGGAATGAAACACGAGGGCCATAAAATTCAGTCGACTTCTGTTCCTCATAAAGGAAAAGACTCTCCCTGGTCCCACTTAGCGAAGGATTACGCTCATTCGTGTTACAGCTGCAATTGACATCTGGGACTGTAACGTGACAGTTCTGTTAAAGTCGCTGACACGAACGTTCATATGTCCCCTCCTTTTACACGTTCCTTTAGGTCGCTTTGCCTCAACGTTGTCTCTCATCCTCACTCCTTCTTAAAAATGAAATGTTCCTCTACGCCTCTTCTTCCGCATCTGAGCTTTTTAGACTTGTTTCAGGATTTCAATACGCATTTTTCACGCCTTCAATGTTCCTTCTCTACAAGCAATTCACGTTTCTTTCTTTAGCGCGTTTGCTTCATTTGATGAGTTTTTTTACCATCTCAAAAGGAAATCACCTTATACAAATTTCGGGTGCTCACTTCGTCCATTCGCCGCGAACTCTCTCGTGGCTGCCCGCGTAATTCTCCACGGCTCTCTTCGAACAAAGTAATTATGACGTAAAATACCACCACCCTGATGGACTTTTGCAGATGGTTCTTGTCGCGGAACACGACTCTTTACACGATTTCGCCCGTGCGGGAATAAACCGCACGGGTTTGAATCGTGCACAACTGAAACCGTGTAGTAGGAAAGTGTGCACTTGATCACGTATGCCACTGAGCAAAGATGCGATGCGGTAACCGCGTGGCCCCAGTTGCACTGGGCGGCTGCGACAAGATGCCCGTGTTCTAACCGTGCAATGTGAAAGGTCCCGTATTCTTAACGAGTCCACTAAATAAAATTGCCGTGCGGTTTATTCCCACAAAGGCGAAATCGTGTAATATGAAAAGAGCGTAATGCGTATTACTCTCCGGTTCGCTCTTAATTCCCCTCCAACTTAAACTTAGAAAGCTTGGGCTTCGACCGTTTCCACCAATCAACACCAATCCATTCGTCTACATTCTTTGTAATAAATTAGTCACGCCGAGTCATCTATCATAATCTTCAAAACCCAGACTGCAAAATGAACATCCGTCTGTAATCTGGCGTCACTTCTGCGACTTTCTGGCGACCCCAAAACTTCACATGCATTTACACGGTGAGGACCGTGGGTAGGACCAAAAAGCTAAACTTGAATATAGTCGCGGGCTCCCGTTACAAGGGGAAATCCAAGCTACAAAGTTCATGCAATAACACTCAAGGCTCACAATTTAAGATTTGGGATTGAAGGGTTCAGGATTCTCGAGTGGTCTCTTAATCTTTTCGGATTCAAAAATTAGAACTCTCAACGTAAAGGTTTTCTTCACCTAGTTCTTTGTTTCGCCGACGGAGGTCGTGCAGAGGTTTCTCGTGGTATGTTTGGCTATCCCTTCTTTATGTTTATCTCGCTCAGATAGTTGTATTTCTTTTCCCGCAGTTTCGGCTTTCGCATTGATTACATGCAATTTGGTACGTAACTACTTTTCTGACTTCGTGTCTACAGTAAGGGATTTACTGTTTTGGCTTTATCATTTTATTTTTGGAGTGGTTTTCTCTTTCTCTTGATGCTTGTGGATCTCTCTTTGCATATAAACAATACGAGGTATGTACCAGTATACATCAGTATTTTCTAATACGTATGTTTTTTAGGGCTCTTACCTTCCCTCACCTTATTGTTTCTCGTCGTTCTTTCTTTTGGATTACCTTTCACGTTGATCTATTTGGATATTACCCATTACCTAAGAAGTACTGGGATGGCATACCATTTTTTACTTGGACCCGCCTTTTTAACAAGATCGACATTGGCGAACCACGCGATAGATGAGTTTCTACCTTACCGGCAGAGTTCAGTGAAACCAATCAGTGATCTACCTACATTCATTACCGTTGACCTACTTACGTGGAATTGGGTCACCTACATTTCGATATTTGTTCCTGAACTGCAAGTATAATGAAACTTTGAAGATTGACGATCCTGTAAATTGCTCCGACAAACCTTATTTTCTGTACATCACTTTTGTCGTTACCGAACATTTGATTTTAGATCGAAACTCGATTTCTTTTACGATTCCTCTTGTTACTACGAAAATTCATTTCTATATCAACCATTTTTAGTTAGGTACGTTACTTTTACTTCGAAGAATTTGCTCATATTATCTTATTTACCTTCTGAATTAATTAGCTTGCATTGCTGTTAAATAGAAATTTAGTAGTTTTTTTCTTGAATTTAACGTCACGTTTATGCTCTTATACAGATCGTGTAAGGGATAATGCGTAGTTGATATCGCTTTTGCTAGTGTAAAGTCATTCGAATTATTCTTAGTGAATATTAAATACGGTTTTAGTATACGATTGCCTCAGTGTCAGACGTTAGTATTGCTATTTTGCAATATTTTGTGCCGCGCGATTCACTGCCCCTTTTATTTGTTTGTTGTGTTGTTGTCTGTTACAGATTTGGCAGAACGCGCCCTTCTGAATTCAGACAGCCGCTACCACCAGAATTCAAAGATAATTTTTATTTTTCGTCGACTACTTGATATAACGTTTGGTTACATACTAGTTTTCGATACAATCGAATTGTAATGATTACCTTTGGTTGATGTTCACTTAACGATTATAGCTCCCTTGTTTTCTGCGGAAGCCTGTTTTGATATTAATATGTTCTCCGACTACGTGTTGATCCCTTGGCTGAAACACCGCCCACTCAAAAATAAAGACCAAATAAATAAATATAACATTAATAAGTAATATCAGTGTTTTAGAGCTTTAGAATTTTGCAATTAGGATTTGGGACACATCATCAATTCAAGAATGGCCAATGAATTCTCTAAAATAGTCTAAAATGTTTTGTAAAACACCAAGAACATTGCGGGTCACAGTCAAACAATTAAGAAATGAGGCCAGAACGCTCTGGAAAGCGTTTAGAAGCTTCTCAGAGAATCAGAGAGTTTCCGCAACCTTCCGCGCCTTAGGCCCTTTCCAATGCCTTACAGATGCGTTCCCGAGTCTTTTACAACCTTTTACTTGTCAGAGGCACATCGAGCTTTTGAAAACTTAAAAAAAGGCTAAAGAATTCCAGTAAAATATTACATATCTAGCGTCGAAAGAAAGACATTTCACATGTAACGGTACTTTCCAGTATCGTTCCAAATTTTTCGATGTTGTACATAGGAGGCGACTAAACAGTCATCCGCAACTCTAGCACTGGAAGTTGGATAGTGAGAGGTGGTTGTGGAATGACACGGCTTTTGACTTCTATTGCTACGATTGTGACTTTGGCTCAACTCCCTGGCGGTCCTTACTTTAATTGTGCGTTGAAAGGTTAAGACGCCTTAGAGTGGAAAATGACGTGATTAACGTTACAGGATAATTTTTGTTTGCGCCCCAATGGTGTTGCTGAATGTACGGAAAAGTAGTCAAAGCCACATAGTTTAGCACCTGATGAACCCGAAGGCGGAAACGTAAAACAGTCATCTTTATATAGAAAATCAAAATATATACCTACCAACCAATGCGATCCATGTTCCCAGGATTCAATCTGTTAAAATCTATGGAGGTCAATGCAGCATCGAATTAAGACTGACTTAATTAAGGTAGGTACCGGAAACAATATTTGTCTTGTATTTAGAGGAAGTAAAATTGGGAATTTAGAGGTATAACATTTGTTTAAGATTGCATTTTTTTATACCAAATTAATTATGCCAACTTTTAACAAAAGTAACCTATGGATATTTGTATTAACGTAAGTTAAAACGTAAAAAGTTTTAATTAGAAGATAATAAGCATTTTTTTTCCTGTTTGTTTTAAGTAGTACATAAGTGGCCGTTTAGATAAATATAATTATAATCTAATCTGGGAGTAATGAGATAAAGTTATTGAACCGATTGAGCTAATCGCATTTAAAAATCAGTACACATCAGTAGAATTAATTGAACCCTGATTGAAAATTAACATAAACATTTGTTGTAACCAAAGGCGAAACCATATTAATATGAGAAAGCAGAAAGAGAAAGCATGCCTTTCGCTGATATGTTGACAATTGAAAAAATGACTGATCTCGAAAAAGAGTCGCACGGGAAAGTTATACTTTGTACAAACCAATTTATTTCGATGAGACCTTTAATTAGAATACCATGAAGGGTAGAACATGTGTTCCCCCCCCCCCCCCTCTTTCCTAAAGATAGCACCACTAAAAGAATGCGTATGCAAAATCTGAGACCAATTGGTTGTCGTATGTAAAACCCATGCACGTTTTACTTTCAAAAACAACATCCCAGGAAATAATTCGAGAGGGTTTAGGTTAAAAATTAATCTCATTGTATTCTAATTAAAGGTCTCAACGAAAGGAACCGTTTCGTACCAATTACTGCCCTTCTTTCTGTCCTCGGGGAGGGGGAGGGGAGGGGGAGTGGAACTAGTTTTAACCTTCATGGTACTCTAATGAAAGGTCTCAACGAAAGGAATTAATTTCTACCAACCATACCCCCCCTCCTCGACATCTTATCGTGATCGGGTATATTCCCTTATACCTCAAGAACTTATTGTCGGAAGAGGGTACTCACAAAGGGCGATTGAGACGTTTGCAAGAAATATATCCATTGTTAATGTCAAAAGCTGTTTCGGTTTAAAAAATGCGCTTTATCTGCACATGGGTTGTGCACAATTTATACTTGTTTTGTTGCGATTCTATTATCAGGACAAGGCTTGTATAAAGGATAATTTCCAAAAAATTGCGCGGAAAAAATAATTTTTCTCTTTTCCGATATTTTAAATCGCAATATCACTAATAGATGGCGCCATATCGTCAACTTCAAAAGATAAGCGGGATCAGGATTGAAGGTTTGTGGTTTATGATGCATCATTCAGTATTCAGCATTGAGGATACGAGATTGGAGAATGGAGAATATGGATTAAAAATCAACCTTACTCCTTCTACATCAACAATGCCTCAAAGATTTATTATTCGGTTTTGATTATTCAGTAATGAAAATTCTGGATTCATTTCTTAAGATTTAGGATTCGAAATGTCAGTTTTGAGATACGATATTTGTGACTTGGATTAAGAATCATCAGGAATCAGTATCTAGAGTATTCAAGATGAACAATGCCTCAAGGATTTATTATTGGGTTTTTATTATTCAGTAATGAAAATTCTGGATTCAGCTCTTAGGATTTAGGATTCGAAATGTCAGTTTCGAGATATGATATTTGTGACTTGGATTAAGAATCATCAGGAGTCAGGATCTAGAGGATTCAAGATGAACAATGCCTCAAGGATTTATTATTCGGTTTTGATTATTCAGTAATGAAAATTCTGGATTCAGCTCTTAGGATTTAGGATTCTAAATGTCAGTTTTGAGATACGATATTTGTGACTTGGATTAAGGATCATCAGGAATCAGGATCTAGAGGATTCAAGATGAACAATGCCTCAAGGATTTATTATTCGGTTTTGATTATTCAGTAATGAAAATTCTGGATTCAGCTTTTAGGATTTAGGATTCGAAATGTCAGTTTTGAGATACGATATTTGTGACTTGGATTAAGGATCATCAGGAATCAGGATCTACACCTTTTCCACTTTTATTCGAGAAGTTGTAAATTGTATTTGAGAATTTATTGTTACTTGTATTTGAGAAAACGTCCAAGTAGATGAGAATAGTCAGTTGGATTTGAGAAAACATCAAATGTATTTGAGAATAGTCAATTGTATTTGAGAAATTATCATTTAATTTTATTGTATTTCAGAATGTAATATTATTCCTAATGAATTATAATTAAGAATCAAATTTTTATAATTCCGCTACTGTATGTAGTCCCGCAACAGCAGCAGCAGCAGCATCAGGCTATGTTATACATGTGATTTTGTTATTGATTCTCAAATACTTAATTTTACCATTTCTTGAATACAATTTACTACTCTCAAATTCATTTGATGCCTTCTCAAATGCAAATCACTATTCTGAACTACATTTGTTGTTTTCTCAAATACATTTTACTATTCTCAAATACAATTGATACTTTCTCAAATTAACTTGATAGTTTCTCGAATAAAAGTGGAAAAGGTGTAGAGGATTCAAGATGAACAATGCCTCAAGGATTTATTATTCGGTTTTGATTATCCAGTAATGAAAATTCTGGATTCAGCTCTTAGGATTTAGGATTCGAAATGTCAGTTTTGAGATACGATATTTGTGACTTGGATTAAGGATCATCAGGAATCAGGATCTAGAGGATTCAAGATGAACAATACCTCAAGGATTTATTATTCGGTTTTGATTATTCAGTAATGAAAATTCTGGATTCAGCTCTTAGGATTTAGGATTCGAAATGTCAGTTTCGAGATGCGATATTTGTGACTTGGATTAAGAACATCAGGAATCAGGATCTAGAGGATTCAAGATTTAGAACCGAGATGAAGCATTTAGGATTGAAGGTTATTGGCATTCAGGTTAATGAATCCTTCATGCAGGATGAGGTTTACAGATCCCGAGGTCACTACTAAGGTTAAACTTCAGCGTTCATATGAGGTACAGGGAGGAGGGGTGAGTGTTGAGTGTGCAAGAGATAATATGTATAGTTCAATGTCTGGGATCAAAGCATTTGGTTTGCAAATTAAAGGTTCAATCTTATTAATTAATGTTATGCTAAGGGACTCACTCCGAGCTTTGAATATAAAAGTAGGTCCAAGCTCCGAGGTAGAAACAGAAATTGAGGGTTTCATGATAAAGTTTCACATTCTGGAATAGTATATTGAAAGACAAGTGTTACAATGCGACCTATTGTAATACGATTATCTTGTGGCCCGAGTGGCGACGCGAAGCGTAGCCACCAGTGTCCGCAAGATAGGAGTATTACAATAAAGCATTGTAACACGCGTTTTTCTCATACTATTTTTTCTATTTCGGTGCTTTAATTTAATTAAGAAAATCATTATCAGAAACTATAGGGAACATTAGAACTAACATGTTTTATGTTGGGAACACTTTTTATGCCGTTAAGTTTTAGGTTGGCAGCGTAGTAAGACTGACATTTTGAAGTTCAAACATAGAAGTACCCAACGAAGTACCTACTTGTACTAACTAGTAACTGCCAACTTAAGAGATGAGTTTAAAAAAAAACGACTATAATCACTGTCTTTGTACAACTGTTTTCGGTCGAAAACAGTTGTACAAAATCATCATTGTGACACCGAAATAGAAAAACTAATTTCCCAAAGAGGAAAAAAACAAATATTTTTCTTTGGTGGTTCCTAAATCTTTATTTAAAAGCTGTAGGTACTATTTATATAATTGAAAAAAATAGTCGTAGGTTTAACAAGTTTCTTTACGTCCTGCTCAACTTTCCAGAAACGATTCGCATATATACAAATATGGATTGTACATTTTTCCATTTTCACAACTGTATTGGAAAGGATACAAACCTCCACTCGGATGGTACTGACACACGTAATACAAAGATGGATTTTCGTTCAAAAAACCTGACTGTCCCTGATGATCGCACTCTGGGATTGAAACGGTGTAATTGTAGTCCTTTATTGGAAGGTCGCAAAATGTCGTTCTCGCGTTGTAGGCGTGATCGCAATCGCATCGGTCTTCAAAGTGCTCCAAAGGCCCCTCGCTGCAACTTCTATTGTTCGTTTTTACGCAGTGGTGGAAGAGCTGCGTGTCGAAGGGATCCGGGTACATTCCGGTTGTGCGACAGATAAAAGTGGCGTTATGCACCTCGACTACAGGATCGCATTGTGGGTTTGGACCGACAATGCAAATGCCATTGGAGCAGCTGCTATTCCCACCGCATGACGCGATTGGATACTCTGTGAAGTTCGCTTCATTCTGGACGCAGAGGACTACCTGATTACAGCTACTGCACGCATATCCTGGTTGTTTGCAAAAAGTTGAATTGTTTATAGCTTGGGATTTAACATCTGCAAAAATCTTTCAAATCACATTAGCAACATCTGCACCTAACAACAGCCACATTACTTACAACTGCCAACATCAACGGAAGTACAACCTTCATTTTCAATAGCAAGTGCTACACTGGTACAGTTAAGTAGAAAACACTGTCTCTAGTATTTATACTTTTGACTAAGCTAAGCCGGTATGAGCACACCAATTAACAACTAATCTACACAACTTCAAAAAATAAGCGCTAAGCCAATGTATCAAGTAGAATTAGCGTATATGGCATCAAATATGCTAAAGTAATTTACGATATTTGAATTATGTGTGGGATATACCTTTATCAGTTCGTGGAATTCCTCATGAGAAAATTTCCCCTTTTTTGGTACGAACTGGGAACTCCCCAAGTCACTGATTGTTTAAGGGCGGATTTTTCTTGTGTCACTTATATTTATGCGATAGATAGAGTTGACGGTAACAAGAAAAGCAGGCCCTCAGAGAAACAAACCGCATGTCAAAAGCAAGTGGACTTTAATTGGTTCATGTATAAGACAAGATGGGGTTTTGTGAGTCTGCACACAAGCATTTTGGATGCCCGCAGCATTTTCAGTGTGTTTCAAAAAAACCATCGAGGCCAGTCAGCGATTCCAAGGATTTAGAGGCGCACCCACGACGATCCTTGGAAGCGCCAAGGCGTGTTTTGACGCTCGTGCGCCTGACTCTGAAGGACCGTAGCGGAAAAACCAGAAAATTTTTCTTGCTCGTAACACCTCGTACTGTTCGGGGACTGTATTTCCGGCGCTAAGTGAATGCCGAAAATTTGACCAACGAGCGGTCACGGAGCGAGAGTACCACAGATGAGGTCGTTGGATTTTGTTAAATCTACATAACACTTTTGCACGTTTTCTCTCACACCTACCGTTCTTTTTAAAATAAAATTGAAACAACGGAACTTGAAGGGGACAGACAAAGATGCTTGTGAGAACTATTAGCTGTCCATATGTCTTACGCCCCCTTCACCATATTTATGCGCTTTTACCTTACCTATACTTTAACAACTGCGCTTTCGCTTTTTAACAGTAAATGTGAGGAGGAGAGCGCAAAAATTTTGCACGGTTTTGTGTTGGGAGATAACGATCTTTTGCAAAATTTATTGGAAATTGCACAGTTCGAGTTGGGGGCCCAGATAAAACGTCCATCATTTCTTCTTTACTCACCGCTCTGCTTGGTATCTTCACAACTCTGCTTTGTGAGAGTAAATGAGGAGGAAGAACAAAGATCCAAAAGATCTGCGATCGCCATGTCGGAAGGTGAACCCCTTTCAAGCTTTCTTTTCACCTTAAACTTCTGTTCGCTACCTTTTTATCCAAGCACCATTCACTCTTACTTTATACCTTCACGCTGCCTTTTCACTTCTTTCCCATATTCTTCATGCGTAATTCTTCAGAGTCCGATCTTACCTATTAGATATGTTCACCTCTTGAGAGTAACCGTGAAGGAAAACAAATATTTTGGCGAGAAACACATGTGGTTCAGAGTGGTACCAAGATTAGTCCACCCCATCAAAATATGTGTACACCTACTCCGACGTCTTCAACGTACTCTATAACGTTCCTAGGGGTCTATCAAGCCGACACTGAAAACGTTGACTTACCCTATACTTACCGTTGGCAACTCTGGCAAGCCGAGCCACCTACCTTTCAAGTCGAAACGATGAACGTTTTGCGGCACTTTTGAATTTGGATGGCAGTCGACTCGATATGGATGGCACGAATGAACTCCTACGTTGTGTAGTCGATTCTTGTATGTGTTGGGACATGAGATATCATCGGGAAGGGAACTAAATAAAAAACAGAACTTTTGTGAGTAAGAAATGACAAGAAGATATAAATATATTAACACACAACAAGACCATGCCAGGGAAACCTTCTACGGGACAAAAACCCCGGCATAGGCCACACAAATACATGAAATAAATCACCTACAGCAATAAAATGCAAGAGAAAATACACACAAATAAAACATCTCAAATTGTATGATAAAAATCAGATAATCAAATCAAATGCAATTTAACAAGTTCATAAAAACAAAATATACAAGACATCATAAAAGCAGTGGAAAACATGATAAGTCAATTCAGTACAAAAACACATCAAGATACCTGAACGATCAATTGAGCTAACGCAACTCGTAAAATAATAAATTGCATGTACATAGGAAACATGTAAATGGTGTGGCTCTACTCCAGCCTTCAGTTAACATAATTTTATTTAACACGAAAAGTGCATGTGAGAATACCAATAGCAAGTATTCATGTGAAATCGATTATCGCTCAAGCAGAACATATTTTAAATAGAGGAAATGTTAATGAGAGGGCCCCTACTCGCATTGCTAAGATACTAAGAACTGCAATCCGCACGAGACGAGTAGGCAACAGATACAGCGAAAGATCGAACTGTATTAGGTACCTACCCCACGGAGACAGAATGAACCACTCGCACACGCAAACATCGAAACATCAAATAAGAGAGCCCCCCTTCGTATAGCTAACGCACAAGAGCTGCAGCGCCCACGATTAAGAAAGTAACAGATACAGCAAACAATCAAACTGTATTAGGTACTTCCATCACGGAATAGTTACGGATCAATCGAACAGAGCAACATCGCACGGATAATCAACTCCTCGTGAATACAGAAATAAATACTTAATTAAACACAATAATGGCATAATCACCTGTACAGTATAACTGTTGAAGTATAACAAGCAAACATGTATCATTTGACGGTACTCAAAACAAAGGCATGGAGTACGTCATGATCATTGAGTTAGAAAACTAATGGAGGGAATATAATGGTAGAGGGGGTAAGAATTTTTGTAGACGGAAGTTGCCACAGATAGAGGCCACTCGCGTGGATATGTTCCCGTGAAGGTACATTTTGGCCGACATTATTTGACATATGAAAGCGCGGGTCCTGTCACTGTCAATTTTCCACCAAATTCAAATTTTATTAAATTTGCCATTTTAAAGTAGGTACCTAATAATTTCGGATCGGTTTGTGCTCTGGTTTATGTAAATAACTAACTGCCGCATAGTGTTTTTATCACACGCAATTTTGTGAATTGAGAATGATTAACTGCGTATCATGCAAAATTTCTCATAAAGGGAAGAAACAGGGCATTTCCTTTCATCGGTAAGACATGTCATTTATCATGTTGTAAGCGAGGTTGTAGGTACCCAGTTTATGTCTTAGTTTTCCAAACCAACCAGTACTTTGAGCAAAATGGTTACCTAACATTTACAAATATATCTCAAGAACAGATCTCGAAATTTGCTCTTGTGCTCACAACGCTTCATTGACTGTGATTTCGACCAAAGGTTGCACCGGAAAATGTTCATCAAATATGCAGTAGGTACTATCAAAACTTGTTTTTACAGCTAAACGTGTGAGTTTATATAATATTGATATCATGTGTAAGTTTTTTTACGAGTGCGGATACATTTTGAGACCAATAAACAATAAATTATTATTGAATCTCTCTGCCGTTGTAATGAACCTGAGACCAACCAGTCAATTGTAGCTATTGATCAACACTGTGAATTTAATGGAAGTTGTCAAGTTGTAGTGGCTATAGTAAACTGGCCTTAATTATACTACTGGAACACATCGATGTATATTTAGATTTGTAATCAATGATTATATTAAATCTGCACACTTTCCCATCCTTGTCTATTTTGTTTACTTTACCACGAGCATGTATTTTACTCCTTCTATACGTTTTTTTGTTATTATTCCTATTAGTGGAAAGAAAATTATATCTCTACGCCACTGAAGTGAGACGCTAATGATAACGGAAGTGGTGTGGTACTTTAATCACAGTTAGAGGCCACTTTTGGTTCCCGTGGTCTACGTCTGGCCAAGCATTTGATTCCCTCCATTAGTTTTCTAACTCAATGGCCATGATTCAGATATATCGTTGAGTGAAAAGTAATAAGAGACGCAACTTGATCAATTTATATGAGGCTTGTGCGGGCACCGACAAATAGATGCGCCAGTTGTCAAAAGGCACCGAGATCACAGAGTACTTGACTTTTATTCGGTGCCGAGGCCCGAGATGTTTCAGTGACGTAATTGATTGGAAAGTGTTGGTGATGACGTCACGACAGGGCTGCCAAATAAACAGCTGATGGAAATAAAACAATTCATTCGCAAAACACAAATTCATTTTTAGTGCGCGTTTTGCAATGGCGTTTTGTTTCCGATTTCCCTTTTTAGTGCTACTGTCGTGGATGTCCACATGATTCAAGACGGGAAACGTGCAGTTGTTCCGATTTCCAGCAGAAAATAAACAATTTTACTAGTGGAAAAAGATGTGCAGGTAAGATCTTTGAAACCCAAAGCCCTATTTGTACGCCAAATGATAGTTCAGAAAATAATAAATACCTATTCTTCTCTACAAAAGTTTATTACTCTTTACTCACCTTGCACAATATTAATTGTAGTAGAGCGAGCCAATCGAGATCCGAAGTAGAGTGATGGTAACAACATGTTGGGTCACCACTACCATATTATTCCCATGGAATAAAGAGGGCACATGGAAATTTCTTTATCGAGAAACGTGGAAAAGGTGTGTATTAATAAACATTTTTCTGAAATTTGAAAGTGTATTTTCAGAAAAACCAAAAAAGTTTGACCAGTAAGAAATGTAACGAAGAACCCGGAGCCATGGAAGCAGGTCCTTTCACTTCAACATTTCTGCTAAAATCTCGAACACTTGAAAAAACCGAGTTGTACTTTTTCAAAGAAGAAAATACTAATTTAAATGAAACCCTACAACTACAACAGTGTGAAAAAAAACTATTGTTCCAAGATATTAGTGGGGCTCACTTTTTAGTGTAGCTGGGCTGTGGAAATCATACCACCAGACTATCTATTATGTACGTTGATGAAGTTTCGATTAAATTTAAAATATTTTAAGTGTTTTAGATTTACAGTGAGTAGGTAACATGAAAATGCAAAACATTATCGTCACATTTATATGTGCTACTTGTAATGTTGTACGCGGGCCTTATGAGTAATATGAGTAATAGAGAGAAAAATTATCTTTTTATATCGACATGCTTCAAAGACATCACAAATGGCAGAATTGTGTTGGATTGCACGGAAATTGAAGGTGCAATTCCGCATTCCTTTAAAAAAGCTTTATCTTCTGATTACAAGCAGTGCAGCAACAACTTTTGAGAGTGATTTATTTCCAGGATCATTACATTAGACAAAGTGGCGTCATGCCTCATTTGAGAGAGCATTCCACTGTATTGTTCAAACTTGTGCACCACTAGATTTTCAATATGAGAATTAAAAAAATGTTTACCATTGGCCACTGATTAAATAAATTAAAATTAAGGAACATGTACAAATAGTTTTATTTCATTTTCCATATGTGTAAATATCAATACATATTTAATTAAAAACTAAAATCACTTACTAAGAAAACTAACAGATAACAATACAATACTAACTGTTTTAATAATTTACCTAAAAGGTTACAAACATATTAAATTTGAATTGTTCTCCATTCTTACATCTATCGCAATTTAGGAGTCCACATGACAAAGATCTTTTCATCATAAGAACAAGTTCTTGTATTTAATGAAAAGCATGGTGTGACCTTTTCACATTTGAACTACCATCAAATATGAATTTTTGCTCATTCTTAATTCATCTAGTATTCTATGACCAATGACCATGTCCACTTTGGATTTCATAAGATCTTATGAATTCATTACGCTTTCTTCAGACACAGCGTTAATCCTGCGCGGTTCTATCTGAACGATTTGAAACATTTTCATGTAAATAAAAATAAGGTCCTCTTGAGAATCGCGCGATTACCGGCGTGTCGGAACAAGCACGCAAATAATAATTACTGCTATTTTCCATCGCGAACGCCAAAATTGACAAATGTGATTACCATGGCATCCACTAGTATGGGCACTTGATAATTTTGAATTTTGTTTTATGAAAAATGCAAATAAAATCTGTTTGGACCGTTGTAGATTAAATTTTGAATGATACAATATGAACATTATTAATGAAACCTGTGGAACTAAAACTACGTGTTACACCTCGTGATTTTAACGTTACACGCGTTTCATTATGATGATTATATCGAACTTGTATCATTAATAACTAGTATCTGCTCCCACGAAGCCATAGCTAAAAAACCATTCCCACAAAGTCATATTCTGGTTAGAATTAGTTTTACGTTCATCATTTAACTCGCGAGTTTAACTCCCACTGTATCCACTTTTATTCCATCTAAATTCCTTTCCTTTAGTCCAGAGAAATCCAAGCCAGAATCCACTTTATTCCGTATAAATTCCTTTTTTTGGCGAAGAGGAATAGAAAGAAGCAGGACATCTACAAACAATTTTTCAATTGGTTTAGTAAAAAAAAGTGCTGTAATTTTCAGATAGGTACATTTATAATAATAAATTAATAATTTCCTGTGATCACAAAGAAGTAGCTTTAAAAACTCTTCTTATCTCATTATCTACTATCCAGGAATAAGAATAAGTTTGTATTGTTGGCATTTCTAGATTAATAGGTATTAATTGACGTTTGTTAATTTAAAGGTTGACAGTTTCAAATCGTATATCATCGGACAACCTCAAACAGACTCCTTTGACTCTGCAACTCACATACCCAGGCCATGTCCTTCACCATATTTATTTGCAATTAGCAGTCGGGTCTAAAGCCCCAGTCAGATAGGTGTAGTACGGTGCCGTTGCCTTGTTGTGCAGTGCGGGTCGGTGCTGTCATGTTGACATTTGCATTCACAATCACCGCAAAATTGGCCCGACTACACAAGTATGAACAACCAACAACAACGGCAGCAGCAAATTAGCTTTGACAGATCGTCACGACAAATATGTTGCACTTCCATTGGTACTTGCTAACTGGAGTGCAGAAAGTTTGAGGAGTACCACCTATCTGCATGGGGCTAAGTGTTTCATACATTGCTTATTTAAAAAGAATTTAAAAATTGTGTGGAAATTAATCTTACTTACCTGTTTAGTGCTTTCAATCTCATCCTCTGTTCGTGGCACCACATTGCACTTTCGGAAACAATTCCAACACGGAAACTGCGTTGTTTCAATAGATGAGATTGGCTCTTTCCATTAGGATACTGTATCAGTTTTTCTCTCGATTTTACGAATATTGTTATTTGCATACAGCAAAACAGCACAGATATGCTGTTACTAAATTGCCACTTGCTACAACTTCTTCGTTTAAATTAACCTAAAATAAAATGTTGAGTTACCTGCACTTATATCACATATTATTATAAAAAACCTTATGCAAAGCATTATTCCCTTACCGCCACTTGCATTTCTTTTCATACTTCCTTCATTCATTTATAAGCATTATTTGTTCATGTCCATTAAATTACACCGCAAGCACATTTCCACTAACTAGGTATATTCGCATTTACCAAACGCGGTAATTTCTTCAGAAAATGCTCGAAAAGGTCGGACAAGTTTATTAACGCCATGTTACAAATAAGGTAAACAAACTCCCATCAGCTGTTTGGGGTCGGGATAAGACGTGAATGACGTCACACTTTCGTAATAGTATTAAGTCCAAAATTAAAATACGATGGCAGCACTATCCATAAACTTGTTTTTTGCCAGCGCCGCACGGAAAACTACGGCAAGTGAGATAGAAATATAGATGTCGCCTTAGAAAAAGAAAGAGGACTTAAGGGTATCGCAATTTTATATACAGTTGCGCCTCTTTACTATTTTTCACTCAACGGATATATATCGTAGTTTATGCAAAATCCGCAAAATGTAAATAATATCAAATTGTGACAAGAAATGCAATTGTTAATAGCTAGTACAAGGAAGGATAAAATGGTTACTACCTGTAAATACACCTTCAAAACACCACCACCAAAATAATCAAGAATAAAAAAACCGGGAAGGCGCAATGACTTCCGTCGACCTAGTCGCCATCTTCTTCATTCTCCCATAGCTTCCTTACGAAAATCCCTTAGTATTCGGCATCTGCGCAAAACGGTCGATTGGTTATATACAGAGCATATCATACTTTTGTTTCTGATGTAAAAGTGTGTTGCCTAACCATAAAGGTGGATTATCACAAGAGGTTCAACCTCGTTTACGGTTTTTTTCAATTCCTTTCCTATTCGGCGCGTCCTCTCCATTTCTTCTCCATATACCATTCACAATCATTTTTACCTTTTCAGAGTAAATGAGGAGTACGGGGAGGAAGGTAGATATAAAGTTTCGCGACAATTAACTATTAGGGGTCAAGGATAGCGTTGATTATGGGGATTTAAATAGACAAGATCGCCACGTTGACAAGTTGACATCTTCACGTTCTGTTTTCAGTTTCAATTTCTTCCCTATTCTTCACGCATCATCCGTTTCTACTTTATTCAGTTGGTGGGAGGGGAGTAGACGAAAAGTTTTGCTTTCGCCACGTCGAGAGGTTCAAAAAGGTTCAACCTCTGTGACGCTCTCTTTTCTGGGGGGCGGGGGGGATGAACAATGTGGGTTGCACGGTTTGATCTCGGGAGGGGGGAGGGGGGGGGGTTACATCACAAAACCCCCATCATTTTTCATTTAGACCTTGAGAGGTTGCCCCCTGTACATATAACTGAAAACGATGCACACATTTTTGAGAACTGGCAACCGCGCGACTTATAAGGAGGAGAAAACTGCCTGCGCTATACGTTAACTACCGAAAAATATAAGCCTCCAATGCCTCCAAAATTCATCGAAACTCGACTTGTCTGAAAGAGGAAAAATCGCTACGTTGATTATATTAAAAAAATACAGTGGACAAACACCCTTAGTTTCCAGGTTAATTTTTATCAATCCGGTGTGTTTGGTTAAAACATGGCGCATCTTTCCAACTACCACCAGAAAATGATACCACTGTATATGGCCACACTGGCTTTATAGAGTCAATATAGGGCAAGACAATAGAAGTAGCGACGCAATCAGCAGTTGAGGGAGTTGTATTGGAAGCGTTGAGTAGCGGAATACCTTCCAAAGCTTGTAAAACGTAAGAAGTGCAATGGTCATTCTTACCCCATAAAATTGGAAGAGTTTGTTCTTATTTTCCCACTCTAAATATTTAAATTCGTATACGGTAGCGATTATCTGCAGAGATCCAACAAGGAAAAAGACCAAGCGATCCTTGGGATTTTTTACTGCAATTAAGCCATTTGGAGGTAGCTTAATTTGAGGACCAGAATGGAAGAATTTATTTGTATTTGTTTTTGCGTTTTTTTTTCTTCTTTTTTAAAAATCATTAAAAATCGTATTTTTGTAATTAGGGGATTTACTAAAATTTGGTACCGAAGGTAATGGATGGAAAATCGTTTTATTATTGTATAGCTATATATTTGAAAACACAACGTTTTATTGCTAATCACTATCACCGTTGAGGATATTTAATCGTTTAGAATACATCCAACCAAATCATAGATTCTTTTGCATAGCTCTTTTCCGCCTTTGGTTCCCTCGATACAAGTCTGCGCCAATTCGGCCGTCAGTGAGGGTATTCCTTCCAACATTCGCGTTTGATCCAGCAAATTTTCGGAAGTTATCATTCCCTGCTTGTGAAACACGCAATGCAAGAAACAATGGAAGGTCGTTTCGTTGGGTAAGTGGTTATTCCTGAAGATCGTCCTCGGAACATCAGGGTCGACCTCGGTTATCCTTACGCACTCATCTAAATAGGGTGCAACCAGTGCCTCCCATCCGTCTATAACTTCGGATTCCAGCTGAAAGATGAATTATCGAATAAATTCGCCGCCTAAGTGTTCACCTACCTTTCTTGCAAATACTGCATGGAAAATACAAGCAATAACAAAAATTAACTTCATTTCGGACAACATATACACTTGCACCTTTGCAATATTTTGGATTTGGTAATGCCGTTGGGCCAAGCACTATTGGTATTGTACCTACTTTTTCATTGAGTTTTAATATAAGATTCCCATACAATAGAGCGCCATGGGAAGGTCGTTTACGTAAAATCCAAATTTATTTTGAAGATGCAATTTTTAAGAAAAACAGTCCCATTTATATACCTAGGTATGTATAAACAATTTTTTTACTCTTTGTGTAACATGTGTACACGATAAACTTATTATATATACTGTGTTATGTACCTAATGGGTCACACGATTACATTGCAAAGTCAAACAGTAGCTAAATGAGTAGGTATGTATTAACATACCTAATACATGCTAAACAATCGGTACTCTACCTTGTAAAAGCTTACACCAGATTTTTAGTTAGCACTTGCCTTCCGCACTGACTGGAAAAATGTCAAACATTTCAGCAAATCTCCATAATTAGAGAGTTTTCACAGCACTTCTGCAGGATTGAGTTGAACTATGGCTCTCCAAAAGTTCAAACTATTCACTCATCGCCATCATACTCTGCGTACTATGATAGCTGACGCTTTACGGTCGAAATATTTAACCGTCTACGAGGAGGTAGTTTGTACCGCGAATTCGGGCAGTACCAGAAGGGTTGACGTATTAGCTATTGATAAAAAGAAGAAAGTCGGCTGGATTATCGATCCCACTGTTAGATTCGAAGTTGACGAACACCAAGCAATTAACGTAAATTTAGAAAAACAAAATATTTATGGTTCAACAACGACCTTCTTCAAAGAATCTTATGGATTAAAAAAAGTTGATATCATAGGGCTACTGGCGCCCGCGGAACAATTACCACTTTTTTCAAAGAATTTTCCCACACTTTCGGATTACCATCAAAATTGTTAAAATTAATAGCAATAACTACTATAAAAAATTGAAATCATTTATATAATTAATTTGTTTGTTTCTTTTTCATGTTCAAATTTGTATTGTATCCTTTGTTTCACAGCAATCCAGAATGTTGGGAAGGTGTAATTTATATAATAAATTTCTATCTAAATATATATACAGATAAGTATAGGTAATATAGGTACTTTTATACAAATTTCATATCTATTTTGTCTATGCTAGTTAATTTCTTCAATTATTTTGCAGCATGTCTGGTAGAACAATCCGCAACGGTTGAGTGGATTATAATGGCTGAAATATAAAATAAATTTAAACAAATAAAATGAAATTAAAACACCTCTATTGCAAATATTGCAGAAGTACTAACAGGGGAGAGAAATGGTCACAATGGGGAGATGAGAATAACGTTTAAATTCTTTAAATCGAGAAATAGAGAGTCGTTACTATTTTCTTAAAAAGTAATAAATTAGCTACCGGTAATACAAAAGGAGCATACTTACCATATTTCATATCCTTCAGGGCACATACTCCACAACCAGTCACAGTAAACCCCTTTACATCGTTTTGTAACTGTAATGCCTTCTACACAGTATTGGGCAGCCTTTGACAGGCCAACTAACGCCAATACCAATAGTGTACAAATAATGAAACTTTTCATGTTGAACAGCTTTCTGACTTTCCAACGTAATTCATGCCTATATATATACCTAGGTCTAGAACAGGATACTTATCATAATATCACTCATTGGATTTGTACCTTGGATACCCCAATGATATGCGATTTTCGCTTTATCGATTTTCATGCGGTTTTCGACAATGTACTTAATTCTAATTTATCGGTAAACGGCGCTATTTCATTAAAATTTTAAATTTGTGAATATTTTGATATAAACTTTGTTAGAAATCATTATTTTGAACAATTTAAGTAGCGTCGTATAAAATAGCGCAGCGCGCTTCTTGGTACAAATCGTTTTGAATACAAGACAATGCTAGATTGCCGTTCTAAATTCGTCTAGTCCGCGTATGACATCACGCGGAACTTAAAATATGAATTTATAATGACTGAAGGTCAAACAATGGTCTGGGCCATTTAATAACTTTACTCTCCGAATAAATTACGTAGATAAGATACCGTTGGTAATACAATCGTTGCCAAGGCACTTATTTGCCGAATAAGTTTATTGAGATGAAGAACTGGCCCTAAGAGCAAAAGTAAGTTGAAATTATTGTATCCTAGTTTTGTTTCGCTTTCGGACCGGTACTTTCGAATTTGACTGCTTAGCGGGTATGACTCGATCTTTCGTGCAAAGCAAATAAACGTACGTTGCTTGGTGACGGAAATTTGCAACATCATGAGAAATTATGTTAAAAATAATAAAAATCTGCAAAATCGACATAAGACCCAATTTACAAATAGTTATTTATATAACAAGAGCCCGAAGTTTAATTGCGCGCATTTAGACTGAAGGTATTTTGACGAGGCGAAGCAGAGCGGTAGAGTGATCGTCCTATGCTACTCGGCGATGAAGTATCAGGTCTGCCATTCGGGGTCCTCGTCTTCGGAAGTGGAGGGGTTGGGCGATCTCTTCAGGAACGACAGTGGGGGCTGCCTGCTCGGGTGCTGCTTCCTCAGTGACAAAAAATGATTTGGTCGCCTCGGCAAGTTATAGACTGGAAAATTACGGTAGTAACAAAGGCATCAGAGTGCAAAACCGCAGTTGGCGTTGGAATGGCCGAATCTTTAGCACATGGAACACTGGGGAGCTTGGTGGCCAGCTGTGATGGAGAAAGCTTCTACTTTGAGACCACAGCAGTAGAGCATTTCCGTGATTTCGCACCCGACAGTTTCTTCAGGGTAACGAGGAAGGTGTTGCGTTGTCTCCTTGTCCTGAATCTCGGTAGCGTAGATGGGACTAAATCCGTGATCGGTCAGATCCTCCATGATCTCGTCGGGAGTGATTGATTCCTGATTGCAACTTTCAGTTCAGTTCTGACTTTTCCTGAATTACGCGGAATTTGTCAGGTCTGTCGGCGGTGCATCGGGTTTTAGTGTGCTGCCGCATATGCATGCGGTACGCCCGCCACAATATGTATTGTTTTTTACGGTTTGCACCATATTGGTCTCACGAACAATTTTAGGAAATAAAAGTCCATCTGCGTAAAGCCCCACATATATGGAGATTAGGTTATGGTATGAGGTTCGTCGTGTGCCTCATCAGGAGTTCCAGTAACGATTTGACTCACAAGTTATCGACATAGCATTTCTACGCTCCCTTCGGCCTGAATTTGGCTGGACAGTACACGATTTTTAATTCAGAACGGAGCATGTAAAGTTGCCTATTATTAAATCGACGCCTCAAACAAAAGTTGTCGTATTAGTCCAGGCTATATAATATTTTTTGACAAAAAAAATTAGTTACCGGATGAAACCGGGTTTTTCAGGCAGATGAAATGAATAGAAATTGGGAAAAAATAATTAAAACAACTGAATTATTCCGCGGGTAAAATCACGGGGGTTGAAAGGGGTGGAAAGTGGTGTTTTGCAAATTGTGGCAAAACTTAATTTTAGACGAAAATGTTAAATATAAAAGTTATAGATATTAAAAAAATGAGCAACTTTTGTATCTACACTATTTTCACATAACCTCCAATTTTCTTAGAAAAACCGGAAAAACTTTTTTTCGTTTTTTATTCTTATTTTTGCGAAAAAATTTCGTAGGGGTTTGAAATTTGGAGGAAACATATATACCTTGTTGTATGATAAAAAAGAAGATAATTTTTTGGGCCTGTAAAGTTGAAGCGTTTCCAAGATCTCACGATTTCTGAAAAAACCACCTCTTTTTCGAGGGGATGAAAAATCTATTTTTTTTCATCGTACAGAGGTGCGCGGGGTAGCAAAATTTTCGGGAAGACTTATATTTTAATAAACAAAAATAAAAAAATATTATTCCTATAGCAAAAATTCGAGAAAATCGCCATAAACTGGAAAAACAGTTTTAAGATATACACGGTTTTTGCCATGATAAATCAACATGGATGTTAATAAAGATTTTTTCGAAATCTGTCTTCTTGCTTCTTTAATGTTTGCTTAAATATTCTCTTTTATCTCTTTTATCTTATGCTCAACTGTTTTAGTTAAAACATCTTTATTATTTATTTTTTCTGCATTTTTACCGCAATAAAGCAATTCGAAATAAAATCGGATTATCTTGCTTCCTGATCCCTGAACAATTTCTTTTTGTTCACTGACTCTTCTTCCTGCCTGTTTTATAGCTGATGCAATTGCGTTGGACCTGTTGAAAACTTGCAAAATCTGAAATAAGAACGTTAATTTTACCGGCCATTGACCAAAGCAAATGATTTGAGGTGTAAAACCTGGAATAAACTTTCTGAGGATTTTATTCATAATTCCTATAAACAATCAACAGGACCAGCTTAATCCCAAACAGGCAGAAAGAAGAGTTATTGAACAAAAACAAATTGTTCGGGAAGCAAAAGAATTCGATTTTACTTCGAATTGCTTTTATTGCGGCAAAAATGCAGAAAAAAGAAATAATAAAGATGTTTTAATTAAGGCAGTTGGGCACTGGGAAATAAAAGAACATATTTTAGCAACATTAAAGAGGGGAGAGAAGACAGATTTCAAAAACTTTTTATTAGCGCGGATCCAATACGTTAATTTATTTGCAAGAAAAGCTATTTACCTACTGTCAAAAACGGTATATCTTAAAACTGTACCCCACGTTTTTGCCGCTTTTCTTAAAATTTTTGTATTGGCGGAATAATATTTTTTATTTTTGATTATTAAAATGTAAGTCGTTACGAAAATTTTGCCACGCACCTCTGTACGATGAAAAAAAATAGATTTTTCATCCCCTTGAAAAATAGGTCGTTTTTTTCAGAAATCGTGAGATCTTGGAAACGGTTCAACTCTACAGGCCCAACAAATTATCTTCTTTTTTATCATAAAACAAGCTATGGTTCCTCCAAATTTCAAAACCCTACGACATTTTTTCGCAAAAATAAGAATAAAAAACGAAAAAACAATTTTTCCGGTTTTTCTAGGAAAATTGTAGGTTATGTGAAAATAGTGTAGATACAAAAGTTGCTCATTTTTTTAATCTCTATAACTTTTACATTTAACATTTTCGTCTAAAATTAATAGTTTTGCCACAATTTGCAAAACATCACTTTCCACCCCTTTCAACCCCCGTGATTTCACCCGCGGAAAAATTCAGCTGTTTTAATTATTTTTTCCCAATTTCTATTCATTTCACCTGCCTGAATAACCCGGTTTTGCCCGGTAACTAATTTTTTTTTTAAATAAATTATTTTAGAGCTATTTAGCCTGGACTATATTCCAACAGAAACCAGCAGTTATTGTGAACACGCAAAAAATACTACCATTGTATACAGTGAATTTTTTTTTAATGCGAACATAGGAGATTGCATGCAATGTAATTTCCCTATGTTCGATTTAAAAAAACACATCAATCTATTGAGTCGTTCAAATGAGTAGTAGATACAAAAAATATTACAAACAAAATACGAAGGTACATTCAGAGACGGCGGCAGCTATATTTTCGCGCTTTTAAGGTAAACTTTTAAGTTGTTTTTCCAAGATAACTTATCTATAAATGAAGTTGGAACAATTTCCAAAATTGAGATAAGTTCGTAAAGTTAACATCTAGGTAATAACACCAGAAAATTTATTTACTTTTTTCTTTTCCAAAATACAGCACCCTAACAGCCCTCGGCGTTACCCTTAAAAGAAAGATTAATTTAAAACATTTTAGTAAACCCCGGCGTTATTGTCTAGTCTAGCTAAAGCATTCACCATTCACAGGAATATTCGACCCCTTCTTCATCTTCACTCAGAATTCAGATATCGTGGAACGAAATCAAGCGTTTTCGGGCAACGGAACATGTGTACTGTCCAGCCTTAAGATACTTTTTCCAAGAAAACTTATCTATAAATGAAGTTCGTAATTTTAATATCTAGGCAATATCGCCAAGAAGATTTGTTTCTTTTTTTCTATTACAAATAGCCCTCGATGTTTCCTTTAAAAGAAAGATTATCTCAAAACATTAATAAACGTACGTGTTGAAGCAAAGAGTATCTTTGGTTGAAGGATTAAAATTGATGTCAGCTGGCGCGACTCCGTGGCTTTTGGGCGCGGGAGGGTGCGTAACTTTCCTTCTCCTTCCGGAGAAATGTTATCTAGACGCAGTCGTCCAAGTTAGGCACCTCCCCGTTTTAAACTGAAAAAGAAGGTAACAACTCCCTCGCAGGTGCGTACGTGACAAAATGGCAGCTGGGATAATTCGTTGGACGGCTGGGGAGCCTCGTCGTCGATGTGCGCAGGTGCGGTTAAAAATTCGCCGTTTCCGCGCGGTTGGACTTGGGGCGTCGCGACGGCCATACGGATAGCTGCGCCAGCTGACATCAATTTTAATCCTTCAACACGTACTAACTACCATTATCAACTCATAGAAATCGTGCCAAAATCACTACCAAAATTTGACGCTACCTCCCAGACTATCTAGCTAAAGCATTCACTTTTTACAAGAATATTAGAGCCCTTCTGCATCTTTACTCAAAAGTCAGTCATGGAACGAAATGAAGCGTTTTTGGGCGTAACAGTGGAACAGGTGACTGTCCAGCCTCAAAGGCAGCTAAAGAGGTACAGTTTTAATTAATGAGCCCATAAAAGATAGTGGTGCAATAAATACCATAGATTACATTTTTTAAATTCTCAACTAGTCTTTCAAATTTTAATACCTTCACAGTTTAAAAATATACAAACATAAATAAAAAAATACTCAATTCATATTAAAAATATCTGCAAATACATAAACAAATCATTTATTTATTATTTGGAGATAAGGGTGTCCTGGTCGGCGACTCCTCTCGCAAACGTTCCACACCATTAAAAATAACCTGAGCGCCCCCTGTACAAGTGGGAACAATGTCTCCTTTGTATAGCCTCGTTTCAATGTCGCCTGCACCATCCGATTCCTGTGCGATTAAGCAATACTTAGACTGTTTGGGATTAGTAACATCTGTCGCCTTTTTTAGTCGATCCACTGACTTTCTCCTCTTCATCGAGGGCTGCAACACTGTCTGCAAGGCTATCGGTTTCACAGCGTTGTGCTCTAACCATATGTCACCGACACCACGCGCTCTATTCACTCGACCTATTGTAACAGTGCGTTCTAAAGCTGGTGTAGTGGTATACTGTGGAATGTTTTCTTTCGTTTCTGTGTCTAACTGTCTGATGGTTTCAATCCGAGTAGGTGTTACCTCAACATTCAATTCGCTATCTATCACCTCTTTGACCTTCTTCAACTTCAGATCACGTGCATGCATTTCTACTTCAAGCTGTTCCCTCTGCTTACGCAGCTTATTATCGAGCTCTTGATTTAATTTCTCAGTTTGTATGACGAATTTCTGTTTATTCTTCTCGTGCTCGAGGCAATTTTGGTTAATTTTCAGGTTCTTTTCGTCGATAGTCAACTGAAGACCCTGAATCAACTCCTGCTGCTCGTTATTCTTCTGCAGAAACTCGTGATTTGCCAGTTCCAGATCGGCAATTTTCACATTCTGGTTTTGCATCTGCGATCTGTCTTTCTTGATTATAGCTTTTAAATTACGAATTTCGGACTTCGACAGAATATTTTCTTGGTTTATTTCGACGAGGCGTTTCCGTAGATGCGTGGCGCTACGATCGCACTCGTCTCTGAACTGGCCCTGTCGCTGTTTTCGAACGCGAACGGCGCGTGCTAATTTCTCAAAAATAGCAATGTTGTCATTGCAGTCATCCAAATCCAATCGGATGGAGGGTAATTTGCTGACGACCGGTAGCGATGAAGCCGATTTTGCTTTGACAGTTTTTGGTGTCGGCGTGTACCCAATTTTATTTGTAGGAGTTCTGAATTGAAGGTACCTCGGTTCGGCCTTTGTTATTTGTATGTCTTGCGTTACCTCGGCGAATTTCAATACCTGCAATATGAGTTAGCATTAGAAACTCGCTATGAAAGATCGGTGTGAAGTTTCAAAAATGTCATCCGAACGTTCATTGGCGAACATTACTACATACTATGCCCACCAGTTACACAACCAAAGCAGAATAAATCAATTAAGTTTACAATCAACCTCTGAATTTAAATTACAGTACATTTGATTTGATTACCTATACTATACAGTGCGTCCCAAACATATGCGTTTATCAAAAAATCGAGCAAAAAAAATGATTTAAATTTTCTGAACGTTTAGAACAAAGCAGATAGTGCAGGGATTTTATAAATGTTTTGCTTTCAAAAATCGATGGGGTGGTTATCAAAAAATGTTTTTTGAAAGGTTTGATCAATCGCTATTTTGATATTTAAAAAAACAAAAAAAATAATTGCAAATAGAGAGCTGAAAGATGGTTTTTTTTTCAATATTTCAGGGAGTTCAGTTTCTTATGTATCTATTGCTTTTATCTGTCAATTAATGCACAAATAGATTACATATGTCCCCCAAAATTTGGGGGGGGGGGGTTACTTCATAATGTTCATTTTGGGTACATAATGACGCTCTTTTTTTATAAAATTTGTAGCCTCCCACTCTTATAACGACCATTATACGTGGTCATAGGGGGTTGAAATCTTACGTGTGACATGTTTGAGAGGTCTAAAGCGTGTATATAAATTTTCAAACATATCTGAGCATCCCTACCATCGTAGACGCAAGAGCCCTACTCTAAACGGTCACATTTAAAATTCTGCCTGCGTTGGAATAGCCTTAAAGGTCGAGATCAAGGTCATTCTCAAGGTGACCACCAATTACCCCAATTTTTGTATGACCGTTCATCGTATGACATCGTAAACAAAACTATTGGGTAAATCGGTTATGAAGAATCGCTGGAAAATATTTTCAAGTTCTAAAAATCACCACCAGATGGCGTAACTGCCATCTTAAATTTTAAAATTGCATTTTCTTTAAATTTCGCATAATATACTAAACATTCTTTTTTCACATTTTTTAAAGAAAACCTTTTTATCTATCATTTTCGTAAAAACAAAAACTCAATTACAAATTACAAATTCAAAAAACTGCACTTTCTGAAAGTAGACAGCAGAATAATTTACAAATTACGGCTGTTATTATTTTATAATGCATCCTGTTTCATTTGTTTAATTTTCCAATGCCTACCTAAAAGTGTAGGGTGCTTTTCTTTCGCGCCATCGACAAATACCGGAAATACGTAAAAAGTAAATTTAATATACAAGTTAAGCATTTTTATTAATCAATTAATTAATCTCATTTTCCGAATATTTGAGGTTAGAACGAGATTTTGAAAACGGTAAGAAGTTAAAGCAGGTTATTGCAAAAACGATTGAACGCTCCACACCATCTTTGTTTTTGAAATAACAGAGTTTTTGTTTTAACGAAAATGATAGATAAACTGGTTCCCATTAAAAATGTGAAAACAATTTTTTTAGTTTATTATGCGAAATTTAAAGAAAATGCAATTTTAAAATTTAAGATGGCATTTACGCCCTCTGTTGGTCATTTTTAGAACTTGAAAATATTTTCCAGTGATGCTTCATGACCGATTTACCCAATAATTTTTTTATCCCTAAGTCATATGACGAACGGTTCTCGAGATATGGCCGAGGAACTGTCTTATTGAGTCACCCGGTACATATTATACACTGTGTCCAAGATGAGGATGTCTATTATGAGGATGTCCAAAACCATAGAAGGTACGAAAATGGTCAAAATAGAAAAAATATGCGCAATTAAAAATTTATTATCATGCTAACAAAACCTAAAAATTCATAATTTCGTAGTTCTGTGTAGCACCACTGTTCTATTAGACGGTATCAAGGTCAGGGTAGGATCGAACACGAAAGCAAATTTTGAAAATAAGCTCAACCGCGCTATAACCCGGCACTAGAGTGGGTAGTGCCGAATTATAGAGTGGGTCATTTGACAGCGTTTTTCCTCCATTATTTTCTAATTTAACACCATTCATGATTAAGGTAGTAAAAAAGATAAGAAATAAGCTTTCCAATAACGTATAGGTACCATGACCTGATGCCATTTAAAAAAATTCAAGATGGCGGTCGCACCAAACCATGTGTCAAAAAAAACGCTTAACCTCAAAATATGTGAAGTAATTTCAATCGCTAGCGTTCTAATTTTCATATGTATATCTCAAACGGTTCGAGATTGAGAGCTTTGGTTCCATTTTTAAGAGTGACCCTGTATATTAATCGAGATATTATTAGAACTCATTTTTTGTGCCAATTTTCTTGCTAATTTTTTCAGAACTGTGTAGATGACTATGCGAGAATGAATTCCATAACTATAAAGGGTGCTATAAGAGCTGTTGTACTAAAATTCAAATTTTTTTATGAACACACATGAAACCGAGGAAGAAACAAATATTTTGGGACACAGAACATTTTGGATCTTGGATTCATTTGGAAAAATGCTTGTTTTAGTCCCTTCTACCACCTAATTTATAGGCCACTTGAAGATTAAAAAAACATTGGGGGGGGAGTGCCTCTAGTTAGCTCTAGTCTAGAAACCAGCGTTCAAGGAAAAGTTGTAGGTAATTAGGTGCTTAATAATACTGCAGTGCAATTGCTTTTTAGTAATGACCAAAAGATGGCAATTTCCATGAAAAAAAAAATGTTTGTGGCCTTACTAAAAAATTATAGCTTCAAAAAATACGAGGTCCATTGAATCTACAACTTTTCCATTATATATTTCGATACCTGATAACGAAACCAGAGTTGCCAAATGAACTTTTTACACTTTATCTAGTTAGCCATGCATCGTTTCGAAAAACCACAAAGGTAAAATTGAAGTTCCTTCTCCATTTAACTCTTTCAATCTCTGCTTGTTTCCTAGATCCCTATACTGTACATTGGAAAAAACTCACCCTGTATACATAGTGACTTTTAGTACGATATCGTTGAAGCCTCTTGACATGGTGATGGTAAAAAAATGCGCATAACACAAAAATATTTGTGTTATCTACAGAGTGCTTAATAAATGTGGTATGAGACAACTTTGTTATTATAAATAGAAGACTCCATATTTTTTTACAATAATGAATTGTTCTAAAAATGGCGCTATACAAAACTGAACCATTTTTGAAAATTTTGTAACAAATTGCACATTTCAACAAAAAACGAGACACAAACATATTATAAACTAATTCATTACATGTACTTTAGAATCTTTCAAAAATTTGACAATATTCTACAGGGTATACATAGAAAATATTTTCGCGTTCGCGAGCAAACAATTATGTACTTTACTTTACCCTGTCAAAACATATCACCCAATATCGCACTAATGAGACACCCTATATAATTTGAAATTTTTTGTGTGATATTCCGTCAATCTGTAGCTTAGACGGAAGTTGTCGAAGGGGTGTAAGTTGTATACATGTAAGTATGTATGGTTGCATAAAGTTAGGATGTAGTACACAGCGTTGATGGTCTAGTGTTTATAGAAACGTGCAAACCTGATCAGTTTTGTAGCATTTCTTTGCAAATATATCATTTTAATTAATTAGGAAGATGATTGTATACCTAAATATTATACTCCAGCATAAATACTTACTGTTTGCCTACTTCACAGACCAAAAAATGCATACAATTACCTGCAAATTTTCCTCATTATCCTGCTCGGAAGGCTTAATACAGACGATCATTTGCACCTGACCCTCGCCCTCGAAGTAATTCTTAAACAGTAAAGTTAAGCGACTGTCACGGTACGGCACCACTCGATTACCGCCACTCGTCTGATTCTCGCGGAGAGCCTCCATGCAGCTACGAAGGGTCATTAGCGAATTATTAATACTACTAGCCTCCTTCAGCCGCATTCCCGTATTATTAGTACGATTACACCGTTCAGACCCGGCGAGATCAACGAGGCTCAACTGTCCGACCCTCATGAGACTTTGTGCCGGCACCACATCATGAGAATGCACTAACTGCACAACTCTAATATTAAATATCGAATGACTACGACTGGATTCCGCATTTAAAAGAGTGTGAGCCATCCTCTTACGCTTTTGTCCCAAGGCAAACAGCTCGAAGGCGTCGGCGGCCGACTTCACCTCGACCTCTTCCACGCCGTTCACGTACATGTTCCTCTGCGAATCTTCGCGAATGATTTTCGACTGCAGAACTTTCCCATTAGACTCGTCCAAAAGATCGTACACTTGATTATTGTAAATCTCGGTGTAGCTTACAAATACTGAAAACGAACAGTCGTCCGGAACACTTTTAAGTTTTGTCTCGTCGTTAGTATACGTAATTCGATCACCTTTCCTCACAGAACGTACATGTTTGGTACCCATTTTCGTTTCGCGAAGTCGCTCTTCTAAGGCTTCGTTTTCGCTTTGCACCTCGAATCCGTTCATTCTGTCGGATTTGATGAGAAACTTGTATGCTTGTAAATGGCTAATACTGTTAAACAGAGTGTTAATACAGGAAGGCATAATGCCCGGATTAGCCTGGTCTCCATTTAATGTGTATGTTTTACCAGAACCGGTCACTCCGTAGGTGAAGAGCAGCCCGTTCTTTCCGTTCACTACGTCTTCTAGCAGAGGTAAGGCAACGTGCTCGAAGACCTCCCGTTGGCCCGAGTACGATGTGAAAACATGTCGAAAGACGTAGTTACATTCTTTACGTATTCCTTTGCCCTTTGGATCTGATATAACCGTTAGAGTGGTGGGCGATAGCAGTTTTATGGATGGAAATTCCGCTTCATCTGCCAATGGACGTAATCTGCAAAACACTTTCACTGTACCGCGTAAATCTGAATTGGATAATTGTTTTTCACGCTGCATTTTAGGTATATTCATAACTTAACCACAGAAAAAGTACACTTATTAACAAACGATAAAATTACAAGAAAATTCAAATTAAAATTAACGTTAACGGATAAAATGACAACGACCGCTCAGGTTGTGGCTAATAGACCGACAAGTGGGTTTCGGTACGAACAGACCATCACACAGGGTTGCCAACTTGATTTTGAAGTAGAAGTTTAGACCCGTTTCTAAATCCAGTACATGCGAAACTAATCCTGATCATTGCCTTAATAATCAATAGCCCAGGTACCCAAAGGGCTGGAAAAATCTACGTAACATTGCAATAATGAGCTGGTTCCAGCGTTCCAGCTAGGGATTCGCCGATGTAATGAAATTTTAGAAGGAAAGAGTGTTCCAAACATTTTATTAACAAATCCGCTTTCGTCGGACGCGCCGCCGGTTGGTGGATAGAGGGACCAACCCCACAAGCATGACTCTCAAAAGGGGTCTGCCAACGGAGCATGCTCGTCGAAAGAGGGGACAGCTCAAACGCAGAAATTACTCAGTCAGGGACCACCTTTTTTTATAGAACTGGCTCGCAGAAAGCGACGGCCATCAGGAAGCGTCGGCATGAGAGGCCTAAGCCTAAAGCGATGTCGGGGCCTTTGCCTCAGGGAGGTACACCGACGTCAAGGACCGAGTGTGTTTTATTTTTTACTCGTAGGCCACCTTTGCTCAGTCGGTGCAGCGACACATTAGTACAGGATGCCGTAACATGTGAGAGCAGCTGAAAACTGAGAACCTTTCAAAAAATGGACAGGTGGATAGTGATGCACTAGCCAAGCCTTTTCCGTGAACCCGGAAAAAGGTCATTCACGAATAGAAGAAAAAAGCGAACCTCTGGGTGGGTACACCCTTCGAGGGTCTGACCAACTCATTAAAAAATTTGGGAATCATCATAGACTCGAGACTCCCAATCTCGGCAGGGCACATTGAACGAATCAGTCAAAAGGCCACTGCATACCTGTGGGCAGATTTTGCCTGTACACATGGTGTTTGAATCCTGCTGGTATATTGGCTGTACACTGTAGTGATACGGTATGTACTGCGCACTTATTACATGGTGGCCTGACATGCGCAGGGAAACCTACAGGAAGCAGCTAAGTAAGCTACAGAGATCCACCTGTTTGGGGGACATTGAAGCTATGAAAACCAAGCCAACTTTGGCCACAAAGGCACACCTGGGCAGCGGGCTCTCTCGCCCAGGGACTAAGGACGGGATAAAATGCATGGAGTATGGAGAATATTATTTTCAAGAGCAGGGGGCAGTGGCGGAACTCAGCTCGCCCATTCCTCAAATCTGAAGAACTCGTTGGGTGTACCAGATGAGTCCCTAACGGAAGAAGGAGCAGGACATGGGTATATATGGTGATCGACCGAGAGCTAACATCAGCTATATACTGACCCTTTGGTCAGCATAGCACCGTGTTTCAGGTAGTGATGTTAGCCATCACGGCCCGTGCACAGGAGAACCTCCGTAAAGGCATAGAGTAAATAATAAAGGCTACCGCAATAAGCATATGCAGTGACAATAAGGCGATTGACTCTAGATAGACTATGTGAACATATTTAATAGGGTAAACGCAATCTAGCTGCCAGCGCACTGCGGAATAGACGATAACGAAAAGGCAGACGAGTTAACTCGCAAAGACAATGGGAGGGTCTTCGTCAGGCCCGAGCTTGCACTAGGAATTGACCTCTCCGTTACCACCCTGATAACACCGGACGTTTTATGTACGTATGTTTAAGGCCCATTACTGGTACATTCGTCCTTGGACAAAAAAATGACGTCGTATGTACGTAAATATGGGACCTCGTATGGACGTCCATGTAAGTATGTCACATGTACGTCCATATTTGGTCCATTCCTTTTTCAATCAATAATACATCTTTTTTCGCCTTGAAAACAATATTAGATAGCGACAGAAAAAGATGTACAGTTTGAGATAAAATGGTTAAGACGTGCCGCAGAAAGAGAAAAACTTGTAAATTGATTAAAATGTGCCCTGGATGACCACTAAATTGCTTTAATGAATTTGTAAGGGTTTTTTTCATTTCATAAGGAATTATGACAAATATATGATGTCAGTGGACGTAAATATGACGTCCAATATTGGACGGAAGTACCAAATGTAGACATTCTATTCTATGCATGTATACTGAACATTCATCCAGTGGATATCCACTGTACAATCTTGTGCTATATGAGCAGGGCCAGGGTTAAAGATTGAGTGACCAGTCAATTCCCGGCTCAGTGGCAACGAACAGTCCAGGACGTTCTTATCGGGGTCCTCTGAGTAAATCTGAGTCTTTTTAAGCTTCTAAAACTGAATAGAGCTGCCAGATGACGAAGTGTGAAGTTTGACGATAAACACAATGGGCCTTTGTGGTGGGCCTGGGCACTGGGCAGTTCATAATCAGGCTTGGAACTTATGAATAGATATATGGAACAGACCCCTACTATTGTTCACGTTCACATAAAGGATGCACAAAAAAACGGGCATGATTTGTTGCACCATTTTAATGAATATTCTATTGCATTACTTCTGTTGCAAATAAACCAGACCGTAGAGGAAAATTGTATTTACTCTATGACCAGACCCAGACGTACCTACCTAGACCTACCAACATTATGTAAGTACTGAATCACACGCGGAATTAAAAATGATACTCTTCAGTCCCTTAGTATATAAATAATTATTATCGTATACAACTTATTGCCCTAAATTGGGATTATTTTCGTATTGTTCTATTATCTGTAGAAGGCGTCAATCATAAGCATCGGTGGTTCAGTGGTAGAATGCTCGCCTGCCACGCGGGCGGCCCGGGTTCGATTCCCGGCCGATGCAACTTTTTTTGGGTGCAAAATAATTTCATATAACAATAAATAACATTTTATCTCTGATATAAGTAACATTTTTTTGTTAAATAGGTACTCAATTTTGAAATTAAATTACATTACGTAATTTTGAATAGGTATATCCAATAAAATTGAGAAAAATATACTTACTACACAATGGTAGCATAAATTATTAGAATTACCTACTATTTAGAGCTAATTTTGATTTTTGAAACGTTAGAGTGTAGAATGACGTGTGGCTGCTCGCCGATTGTAATAATCTCTTTACAAAACGTGACCTATAAGTATCACTTTGATATGAAAACATTTGATTTCTCGCGGAGCATACGACATATCAAGAAGAGATTTCCTTTAGGCACTTAAGAACGAAATTGTCGAACAGTTTTTCAATACGACCTTTGAAACGAAAGTTATGCGCATCAGAGCATTGTTGTCACGTAAAATTTATTTAAATGTTCACAAAACTAAGACTACTAACAATAAACTACATTTAAATCGGCCATGGAAATGTAGGAGGTCGGCATATCATATTTCACAGCAAGAATGAGTCACATCCGCTTTTACTCATTATCGCTGGTCCTTTAGGGTAACTTGAATGTTCTGGAAAATTCGCCACACTGCCCCCCTCTTAAAATTGTTGCAACACGAACGACAGTTGTATCAGAGATGCAGTCCTAGGTGACTCGTTCTATCACGTTACTTCGATGGCAGTACTTGGACGATGCCCCCCTGTGCATTTCCACTCTCGAAGGGAAGGCAATCGCAACCGTCGTACGAAAGGCTCGACGAAAGGGTTGCGGGGTTTCTCTGCGGTCCAAAAAGTAGACCAATATTTCCAGCCACACTACTTCCAGCATGTTGGGCACGACATGGTTCTCAAAGGGAATGGAGGTGGTGCAAAATTTTTAAATAAATATTTAAATTCGAATTACTTAAATTAAAATACAAATTATAAAAAATTAATATTGGTTTTTTGTTACAATTCTGTGTTTTCGTTTCTATTTTACTTTCCTTTCTACTTTCCCATTCTCATAATGTCTTTCCTATTAATCTTGTTCCGTGACCACTTCTCGGTTATTCTCTAAGTGGCGTCATGAAACTATTAGAAAATAATTCGAAAGTGGCACTTAGTAAGTGCCGGCAGAAGTGACAACTTCTTTCTCTCTCACAATCCTTCGCTGCCTTCTGTTTGCCTTCACAAAAAAAAAGAGCGCGCTCCGGGTTCGAAACTGCATAATCAGTTGCGCTACGCACCGTTCTACTAAATATTAAGGACCGCTTCTAAAGCAACAAACTAACACGCATAATTAACAATAATTTGGACACATGCACTTTACAAAATTGTGAGGCAGGCAATCGGGCCGAGCTCGCTTTCTTGAGCGTTACGAGTGACGACCACAGAATATATAAGCGTACTCTATCTTCTGTGACGTTACGAATGAAATGATTTTACTCCCATTCAAAACATACAGTGAATACCGAGTGAAACGGTGTGAGTAGGTGTAGGGCTACTTTGGCCTGGGAAAATTCTGGGGACTGTGGGAAAATATTTCGGTAAATTTTGGCAGTTGACCAGGGTCAAATTTTGAAATTGGCCCGGGGTGCAAGGTCAAATTTTGGCGGGGATCATATTTCGGCAATAATTGGCCTGGGGCGCGGGATCATATTTCGGCAGTTGGTCCGGGGTGTGGGATTATATTTCGGAGTTGGTCCAGGGTGCGGGATTATATTTCGGTAGTTGGTCCGGGGTGCCATATTTTGGAGGTTGGGCCGGGAGTATTTCGGAGGTGTGTTAAAATGACAGTTTTTAAAATATTAATTGATTAGTTAATTAAACTATAGAACGGTTAAATTAAACATGTAATACAAGGTCATCTAAAAAAAAAGGTGGACCCTTTAAGTTTAATTTACTCCAGATTTACTTATCTTAATCTGCTCTAGAGCCCTCTATGCCATAATCCGCCCAGGTTCACATCCTCTTGCACAAAAACGTCATTGCACAAGACGCACAGATATCACTTCGCGTGATTAAGGCTGTGCGTTCAAAATGACGCATGCGCACACTTCAAGGTCAGATCAATGACGATAAATCCAACATTTTGTCTGTATCATACAGTTATTTTCGCTGATCTTAGAAAAGTAGGTCAAGTTATCGATCCAAGTCCTTCCGCTGTTCAAAGTCCAAATTGGTCAAAGTCAATTCCCCGTTGTTTAAAGTCCAAAGGTTG